CCTCCTCTTAACTGGAGCTAGGCAGGCATAGACCTCAGAACTTGAAGTGGTCACCGACACCTGAGAGCGGTGCAGCTCAGTGACATGGCTCTTCCTGCCATCGTCCTCCATTCTGTGATGCGTTACACATCCTAGCCTCTGTGCCTCTGGTTGTGGGCCCGTTGGAGTGAGGCGGCTGTTATATTTCTGAGGCAGGATTAAGGTGGAATCTGTCTTGAGTCCCTGCCTCACTAGAAGGTATCCTTGGGGGTGTGGGCTGCAAGTTTGACATCTGAGTTGAAACAAGAACTAACTTCCTGTTTTAAGCTGTTCCCTTATTGTTGTCGAAGTGCCCTGTTAGGGTTTCCGAGGAGCAGCTGATGGGTTTGAACCACTGACCTTGCAGTTGGTCATTGTCCTATCCCTGTTTTGCTCCGTCTTGGCGTTTGACTCTTGTCTTCTCCAGGACCTTTTCTCGGCTGACTCCTTTTCATGCTAGGGTCTCGGAAGGTGGTTCAGATGTGGGCTTCCTTCTTCATGGCCAGTCGTCCACATCCAAGTTGCTCTCGAGTCCCTCCCTCCCTGGCAGTTATCACCAGGTGAAATTCTCTTCCGAAAGCTGGTTGGTCCAGTTCCCTGCTGAACCCCAGGGCCCAGCCCAGCTCCTGGCTCCTCCGAGGCCCCTGAGAAGTAGGTTGACTATGAGAAGTGGGTGGGAAATGCATTGCTTTACTTTCTAAGCCACTCCTGCCTCTGGAGACATTTGTTAGGTCAAGGAGTAATTAAGACATCTTTTTCGTTAGTAGACCTGTTACCGTATTTAAGGTGTCTTCATTAGTAGAGTCTTTACCGTAATTACAGGCACAGGGCATGCCCACTTTTCAGAGCGCCATGAAACCCTTGGTAGTATCACATTCTTGTTAACAGCTGTTGAGTCCGTTCTAACCCATAGCGACCCTGTGTAGGGTTTCCAAGAAGCGACTAGTGGATTTGAACTGTCAACCTGTGATTCACACTGACCTTGTAGTCTAGTGCTTCATCCTGCAGCACCACACCTGGACTTCAGTGTCATGATAATGGAGTAGAAGTGACGGGGAAGGGCCAGCTCTGAAGCAGAGTTGAGGCTTTGTACATAGGAACCCCGTGGACACTGCCTACATCAGAAGAGGTCTCTATGCCTGCAGATGCCACTCTTGTTGGCAAACAAGATGAGTGTCGTCCACTCAACACGGAGCTTTTCCACCCACAGACTGCATGGGGTCCTGGGTAGGGGGAGGACTTTCATTAGACTTGGGGTGGGGAGGTGAAGCTGCAGAGACCTGCAGTCCTGGCCTTAACTTTGATCTTGTTTAAAACTTCAGTGACTAACTTACAGCCCCCATGATGGTAAGGGGAGCTACAAACTCCGCCTGCCTCCCAGCTGAGGACTGGTGGTCTCAGGGACAACCGGAACCTCCACATGACCTTCAGGAGAAGCCCTTCTTTTCAGACCCATGTGACCTTTAACCCTGGGTGTCAGTCAGTGGTTGGGAGGCACACTCACATCTAGCTCTGCCACTCGGCAGCCACCACTTGAACATTCCGAGACCTCTCCAAAGTGGACAGCGGTCATGGAATGACTCTGAAACGTGGCGGCTCCACCACCTCCCTTCAGAGCAGCTGCACACCCCTCCTTCTCCTCTGTGCTTTTGTTTTTCCTTTCTTTCGAAGAACTTTTTGTTGGAGTAGAGGGACCCCTAGTTACAAAAGCTCAGTGACTTACCAAAGTCAGCACACCTAGATAACCACCCTCCTCAAAATCAAAAGCTAGACGGGAATTCGGCAGACGGTCCTCACTCTTGTTTCCCCAGCTAACAGCAGCCACCTCCGACCTTCACGTGTCTGCTCAGCTCCTAGGTCATTCTTGGCCCATCCTCTGTCTCCCGTGCTCCATCTGAGCGAGTTTGTTGTTGTTTAGTGCCATCCATCAGGTTCCGAGTCAGAGAGACCCTACATAGGGTTTCCAAGGAGCAGCTGGTGAATTTGAACTGCTGACTTGAGGTTATTCTACAGTGCCGAACCAGGACTCCCTGAGTGAGCTTAGAGCTGGGTTTCTGTCTCTCTCGTGTGTGTGTGTGTGTTGTGTGTGTGTGTGTGTGTGTGTGTGTGTGCGCATGTATGCGCACGCATCAGAGATTGGGGTGGGGAGGCACACGGGCAGCAGGAAGTCAGCCAATGGAGCTGTGTGGCCTTCTCTGCCGAGGGATGGTGCTTGGACTGTCAGAGCCATGGTTAGCTGCTCTTGGGTGGCATGTGTGAGGACAACAGCCATTTGTAAAATGTAGGGAGGCAGTAGGACCAGAGCGGTGGAGTTGTGATGGCATCACATGGAGACAAGCTGGAAACAGTCAGTCAGTAGGTGAGGGGCAGAGTCAATCATGACAGATGGGGCACTATTAACCCTAAAGTCCATACGCATCTCTGCATGCGTGCTGTGTGCCTGTGTGTCCTCTCCAAGGACACACCACACTGGTCCCCATCCCTGGCCCAGAATGAGGAACGTCATTGTTACCTCCCTCTTGTTCCTCCCTGCTTGCTTGCCTTACTCCTGTGAGCATTTCATGCTTTAAAAACTCCAAAGTGACGATAAATATTAAGCTAGGATCTGTCCTGAGTTGGTCTTGTTGATAGCAGCCCCAGTTATTCACATGTTAGCATATGAATGACTGCACACAAGCAGGCACATTGGTGCGGTCCATGGACTACTGGTGTTGGGTGCTGTCCAGTTGCTTCCGACTCACAGCGATGCCTCAGGACAGAGTAGAACTGCCCCGTAGGTTTGCATTGTCTGTAATCGTTATGGAAGCAGACTGCCAGGTCTTCTCCTGGGTCACTTCTGGGTGGGTTTGAACATCCAATCTCTAGGTTAGCAGCTGAATGCTTGTGTGCACCTCCACAAGCCTTCAATGCAGTGAATCTCAAGGTGCTCCCAATAGTTTACCTGGCACATGCCCATTTGTGTAACATTCTTGAAATGGTAAGGATGGAGAGATGAGTGGTTTCTAGGAGTTGTGTGGGAGGAGGAGAGGGACCCACAGGAAGGACAAGGGTGTGGCGATATAAAAGGGATCCGTGTGGTGACAGAAGCAGTCTGTTTCTTTGTTGACTGTGGAAGTGACCCCCGGCACAGAACTGAACACAGTCAGACGGGCACAAGTCAGTTTGGAGGATTGGTGTGTAGCTTGCTACAACATTAGTATTCTGGTGCTCATAGGGTTTATGTGAGCTGTCTAGAGCTAACACGGATCTCTGTGTTTCTTACCCCTGCATGTAAATCTTATGTGACCTGGAAATGAAGTCAGACTGATAGAGTAGGTAGGAACTGTGCAGTAGTGTACAATTCTGTTTTTGTGGGTTTGTTTCCCCAAAGAGGCCCTGGTGATGCAAGCAGTTAAGCACACAGCTGCTAATGGGCATGTTGACTGTTGGTACCCAGCAGCCGCAAGACCTGGCAATCTGCTCCTGTAAAGGATCTGAGCGTGCTCACTGGGCCGTCCTGGGGGCAGTTAGGTTCTGTCTGGCCTGCAATCCACTGGATGGCACCTAACAAAAAACCGCGCAGACTGTTGACACAGAAGTGTGCGTTTCTAAGAGCTGATTTACATAGGTTAGGGCCTCCTGACCCCTTCACCTGTCTGAGCTGTGAGCCAGCTCTTGGCCCACAGCACCTCCCGAATCCGTAAATGGAGGGATGGCTTCTACACTGCCTTCCTCCAGGATGCTGATTTGCATCAGATTGTGTCCAGTGCACATAGTTCTTAACTCATGTAGCTCCTCCTCACCTGTGGGAGTGGGAGGGCTGAGGCTCTAGTGCCCCAGCGCCAACGCATGCCCTTCTCCAGCCGTCCTGGTTAACTGCTCCTCCAAGCTCGCCCCCTGGTGTCTGTGAGGGGAAAAGACGTATTTCATGTGGGTGCATAATGCCAAAACGCTTCATTTACAACTTTGATACCAGTTATTTTTTGCCCAACTCTAATCTTTTTTTTTTTTTTTGAGTTTTTATTGTGACTTGAGCGATAGTTTACATGGGAGAACATCAGTTTTACACTCATCGTTTCAGTGCAGCGGTTTTCATCTCCATGCATGCAAGTCTAATCTTGACAAGACTTTCTGCTTTGCTGCTGCATTTTGTTTATTTAGTTGTTGTTGACACTGCACACAGCCAAACACACACCAGTTCAACAGTTTCTGCACATACTGTTCTGTGGTACTGATGAGGTCTTCCGGTGGGACCATTCTCACCCTCCCTGTCTGAGTTGATCCCCCCTCATTAACATAAGCTCACTGTCTCTTAAGCTTCCCCTTATTTTGGTCCCATGGAGATAGATCTTAAAAAGAACATAGTGCTCAAGACAGACATTTTTATACTAGTTAAGCTAAACCATTTACTTGGTTTTAAGAAGACTTCAGAGGAGCTTTTTGGTTGAAGGTTTAAAGGTGATCTCATTGGCTGTTGTTTCAAAGATTAAGCCAGCCTCCACGAGAATTTTCAGTTCTTTTCTTCACTTTCCCCCTTCTGGCCAGGAGTCTTTTATGGACTCGTCAATCAAAATATTCAGCAGTGGTAGCCAGACACCATCCAATTCGTGTCTCCTGGCAGTGCTCTGCCTTTGTTTCCATGACTTTTTAGTTTGGAGTAATTATTTCTACATTTTCAGGAAAGTTGCCAAGTTAATACAAGAGAGTTGGGAGGGAGCCCCCCTGGTCCCTATTGTTGGCATCTTACATCACCAGGACTCACCTGTCATAAGTCAGGCTGGGGGTGGTGCATGACCACTATCCAAACCCCAAGCTTCTCTTGGGATTTCACAGTTTTCCCATCAACACCCTTGTGTTCTTGGACCACCCTGCCTTTTGAAGAGAGTGATCTAAATTTGCCAAGTTGTTGGAGTGTGTTTTGGGTTCTGAGCATCAGAATTTTGTGGGAGCTTCCTTTTTTTGGTCAAGAATGTTGCGGTTACCACCTAGAGATTCTGTGCAGTCATGCTGATGTGGGTGTGAGAAGAACCTTCCCTCTCCCCTCCCCCACCCAGAAGATTCTGCTGCAAAATCATGCCAACATGGCTGGGAACCACAGGCTCGGAGGAGAAGGTAACTTCTTTGGGATTCCTTCTGCTACTGATGATTTCAGAGGACCAGTATCTATGTATCTAAATGGTCCTTCTGGAATGGAGTTGGGATTGTCGTGGAAAAATAGTATGGGACTGAAATTTCTCTATAGTCCCCTATCTGGTTTTCTAATTCATCTCGATAATTCCTCTTTTCAAGTAGTGTTCTTCACGGACTCAGAAGTGCGTGCTCACTCACTTCTTTCTGTCCTTGGTGAAGAATGTAGGCTTTTGGGGGAATTGTTTCATGACATGTCATGGCGTGACCCTGAAGAAGTCATGTATCTGTAGAAGGCCAGTCTAGCCAGCAGGGTTTGTCCACAGATCTGAAGGGTGGCGTGGAGCTCAGGTGGGGGAATTGTTTGTCTCTTACAAGCACCAGACTGTGAACCACAAGCGTGGTTCGAGCCCACCAGCTGTTCCACAGGAGAACGATGAGGCTTTCTGCGCCCACAAAGATTTAAAGCTTCAGAAACCCTCTGCAAGGTCGCTATGAGTCGGAACCGACTCGATGGCACTTAACAACAATATGGATGTTCGAAAGGTGAGGTGTTTTGGAGGGAGGTGAGTCGGTTTGAGGGCAGACATAATCCCTGGAGACCTGCCATTGATTCTGGGGCTTGTCTCTTCCCATGGCACCATATTGTTCAATTGCTTCCCCCTCTTGCCCACCCTTTGTCCACCTGCCCTTGGGAGAAAGGACAAAGGAAATGGTAGTAGATGTTTAGTGAGACCTGGAGAGGGGAGCACACAGGCCCCAGTCAGAAGCAGGGGTGTCAACTTTGTTGGATGGAACTGGGGGTAGAAGAGGTTCTCTAATTCAACTAGGCAGGGACTGCACGCTGGCCAGCACACTCCGTATGCTCCAGTTTTAATAGAGCTCTGGTTGTGGTCACAGGCTTCTATCGAGTACTGGTAAGGGGGGAGTGTGGGGCTGACAAGGGTCTCATTCCTCCCCATTCCCCACCCTTCAGGTCTGACAGAGCTCCATCTTTGTGGCCAAGGCACCACCTGGGGACCATGCTGGACTCTAGCTTTTGATAGCCACAAGGTTTCATTGGAGTGTTGGGAGTGGGGACTGCTAACGATTTGTGACCAAAAATGTCAAAGCCAACAAACAGTTGACCACTTTGCCCTTTGGTCTGTTAACTGGATGGCCCTATGTGATTGATGGTTCTTCAGCCTCATTTCCGTAGCAATTGACATGTGTTCTCTGGGGGCTGGGTGGGGGGCTGTTGTGACATCACAAATGGAAGTTAGTGGGAAGTAAATGTGAATATAAAAGTTGGTGTAATCATCTCGAAAAAACAGGTCTTATAACTTGCCAAGGTGGCTTCATGTGTATTTTCTAAAGTTATTCTCTGAAAGAGCATTTTGTGCCTTTTACATATATGATATATATATATATAATTATAATTATGCCTGTGATACTTACCACAAGACTTGCCGTTAAAAGTTTCCCAAGCCCAAGTCATGGAAACCATCTCCTGATATATTTCGGAGTGCAATACATTCATTTGGGAACGCTAATTACTTTATGTTTTTCCTATAAACACTTGGCTTATCAGGGACATGTCTTAATGACGAGGTATTACAGATTGCTACTCTGATTTTTTGTCCAAAAAATATATATAATAATAAGATTTCTTATATGTTTGGTCACATCAGAGTTAATGCTGTCTGAGAAAGCTTCAGCTGAACAAGTTGTATATACGGAGGGGTCACTTTATGTAGTGAGAGATGTATGGACTTGGCAGGACGAGGAGACAGGCTTTACTACCTTGTTGTTAAGTGCTGTCTAGTTGGTTCCAACTCATTGCAGCCCTCTATAGGGTTGCTGGAGTCCTGGTGTGGCACTGTGGGTTAATGCATTAGACTGCAAAGTCGTATGAACTGCAAGGTCAGCGGTTCAAGTTCACCAGCTGCTCCTTGGAAACCCTGTACAGGGTCCCTATGGGTCGGAATTGACTTAATGGCACTTGACAACAGCAACACTGGGGTTTCTAGGAGTCTGTTTGAATCACTAGGTTTTCGGTTCAGGCTCACCAGCCTCTCCTTGGAAACCTTATACAAGGTCGCTGTGAGTCAGAGCTGACTTGACGGCCCTTAACAACAATAGGGTTTCCAAAGGAGCAGTTGGTGGGTTTGAACTGCCAGCCTTGTGGATCGCAGTCCAATGCTGATCCCACAGCGCCACACCCCGAGTCCTTACGGCCTTAGAATTTAGGATATTTCTGGAAGCCCAGGACAAACCTTGTGTGGTCCAGGGATTTGCCTTGTCTTAATTAACATTTGGATCCTCCTGCTGAACTGCTTCATTTCTGAGGCGCTTTTAAAACTGGCTGTGTGGTCCCTCAGGAGCGAGGCTAGAACTGCCAGCATAGTCTACACCGACCCCGCCGCCTTTCACTAGAAACTTCGTGGGGCTCGTGTTGACCAGATGGTGTTCTTCACTCACATGATGGACCGACCCTGAGCCTTTGTCACTTCACAGCCACTGGCCTTGACCAGCTGAGCCCCGTCCCCGTTGATTTACGGGATGGAGAAGCACAAACTGGCCACCCCAGCATGAGTACATACCTTGGTGTACTGCTCAGAAGCTGGGCCTTACTGGGGCCGATGCTGGAGAGTTGTCTTCATTAGCGTTGGAACGTGACTTACTGGGTTTGCTTCAGTCACCACACTGCAGTTCATCACATGGTTAGAAAAAAGGAGAGCAGAACCTATTTCTCTTTGCCACGCTGGCTCTGGAGAGTGTTGGCATGGTCATCCGTGGATCTCAGGACCTGGTCTTGATCTGGATGATGGCCATGACTTTTAGTGATAAAAGGACCCCCTCTAACATCAGCAGAACCAACCCCTTCAAGAGGCCTTTCAGCTACAGTCTAAACTATCTCGTCACCTCATGAAGCTTTGCATCGAGATTAGTTGTAGGATCCTGTGACTTATGGACAGTTAAGACTGCTTACATTGATGAATCCTTGTTTTAGGAGCGATGTCTTGTTTCATATCTGAGAAATCTTAGACAAATCAAGTCTAAGAGCAATCGTAGTAGAACAGATTTGAACTGACACACTCGATTTTTTAAAAAATCAGGCATACTTCAAGCACATTATTTTAAGGCGTATGGTATCACATGGTGATAGATAAGCACTGAATGGTAACCACAGGGTCAGCAGGTTAAACCCACCAGTCAGTCACTTCTCAGAAGCCCTATACAGGGTTACTATGAGTCAGATTGGACTCAAAAGCACTAACGACAACTGTCGTCCCTGCCTGTCACCCACCGACTACCACTGAGTCCGTTTCAACTCACAGTGATCCTATTATCCTATAGGGCAGATACTTACTCTCTGAAACCCTCTCTCAGGTTTCAGACGATAAGTATTTACGGAAGCATGCAGCCTCGACTGTCTCCAGCAGAGTGACTGATAAATTTGAACTGCTGGGTTTGCGATAATAACCCAGTGCTTAACCGTAGCACCACCAGCATGCTGCTGTCCTGAGCCCCCTAATAGGTTCTCATGTCCTTCTGAAGCCTCTTGGATGTAAAGGGAAGCAAGAAGTCCCTTTTTAGAACAAAAATTGCATGTGCTGTCTTGACTGTTTTAAACATAGAGAAGTTTCCATATAGGTACATTGAGTACTATTTTTGTTAAACTGCTGGATAACGTCCCATTGCTGGGATGTGCCATGATAAAAGCATTTTTCTTCGTAAAGTGCTTTTATGATACTCTGATACTGTTTCAAGAGGATGTTGTTTTTAAGTGCTGTTGAGTCAATTCTGACTCATAGTGACTCTGTATAGGGTTTCCGAGGAGTGAGCAGCCTAGTGGGTTTGAACTGCCAACTTCGCAGTAGCAGTCCAGTGCTTATCCTGCAGTGCCACAAGAGGACAGGTGTGAATTAAAGACATGTTGAAGTCTTAATTTTTTTTTCTCCCTTCTCACTTTGGCACATGTTATTCCCAGAGCTTGGACTAGTTGTTCAACACCAACAAAAGGAGTTTTTCTCCTTTTTGTCTCGCCACTAAATATACATCTAATTGCTGTTCCTCTCCCAACTTTATTTTGTTTCTGGTAAGAGTGATGTGATCCTAGAAGGACCAGCGCAATAATATATGTGTATTTTTTTAACAATAGCTTTTAAATAAAGTATCTATATATGAATATTTCATAAAACAACTGTCAGCAAGTATCTGTCTCCATTTAGGTGGTAGTACTTAATTTCTTGTGGAGTTGTGGCATGGTGCTGTAGGATCAACACTGGACTGCTAACCGCAAGGTCGGCAGTTCAAACATACGAGCTGCTACTCAGAAAACCCTATACAGAGTTGCTATGAGTTGGAATTGATTCTATAACACTTAACAACAACAGCAACTTTCTTGATATTTTCCAGGGTTTCTCAAGTGTTTGTGGTCCACATGAGGAAAAGAAAGTATAACTTACCAGAAACTACTTTGGGGTTTACTGAAGTAATCTGATAGCTTTGAGTTTGGGAGCTTGCTTAGAGGGGGCTGGGAGTGGTGCTCTCCACGGTGCTGAACTAAACCGCAGGGCAGGATGGCTTTGAGAGGAGACCCGGCTCACATTTAACATTTAAAAGAGCACATCTCTCGTTTGTGCCCAAGACTTTTCATTTATTTTTGATTGCCTGCTGTTGGGGAAAGCCAGCTGTACAACGTGGGGACCGGTGTTCTTCCACTGAGCTTTTCTTACTGAGGAAGAAAAGGTGGAGTCCAGAAGTGTGGCCTTTTTGTCCAATACAGCCACTATTTACGTCACAAATGTCGCCTTTTTCTTCTGTAGGTTGATCTATGTCAATGTAAGATAAGGTCATGTTTTGTTTTTGATTTAAAAAAAAAATTTTCCCGTTAATATACACAAAGCAAAAGCACACACCAATTCTTCCGTTTCTGTATGGGCAGTTTGGTGACATTGATGGCGTTCTGAGTGGTTCCCCCCTCGAGAACATACACTCGCTGCCCCAAGGTTCAGGTCTAACCTTTTTGTTACTGTTGTCAGTTTGGTCCTATAGAGACAGTTCTTAAAGGAGCTCAGTGCTCAAGCAGGCATGTTTTACTAATTAAGCTCAATTGTTGTTTGGTTGTTAGGCTTGAGGGGATATTTTTGGTGTAAGTTTAAACATGTTCTAAAATGAGCCATAGTTTCCGGGGTTCATCCAGCCTCCATGGCTCCAGGAAGTTTGTTGTTGTTGTTGTTATGTGCTGTGGAGCTGGTTCCGACTCATAGTGATCCTGTACAGGGTTTCTGAGGCTGTAAATCATGACGGGAGCAGAAAGCCTCATCTTTCTCCCTCGGAACAGCTGGTAGTTTCCGAACTGCTTGGATTCCATGAAATTTTGAGATTCTGCTCTGCATTTTTCTCCCTTTTTAATGAATGAAAATAAAAATAGTGATGAGAATGTTACAACTGTAGCTTACACCTTAAATTTGCCAGTTGTTGCTTAAAAGTTTTGAGCCTCAACTTCTGATACATAATAAAACCTTTGAAGCAGATTTCAGTAAGCGCGCAGAAAGACAAAAATCCGTCTATCCTCTCTGTCCTTCCTGGGCTCTGAGAATGCCATCTCCCCCATAGCTCCTCCACTCCAGGCCCCCAGAACTCTGGGCTTGGTTATTGCATGGATGTATGCTTTCATTATTTAGCAGTTGTCCAGCAGCACCTGGAGAATAACAATGTGATGTGTTCGAGGCACTCACATGTGTCCATGAAGAAAAGTTAGAAGTGTTTATTTCAATCTGTATTGTTCTGTATATAGTTAGTATCGCTTTACAATTAAATTGTCTCTAGGGTTGAGTTTTAATGTGTAGGAAACTGGTTTGCAAGATAATGATTCAAAACTTCTACCTCCACGTACACGTAAAGGTTCTCAGATCTAAAGAATAGAATGAAGGACCAGTAGAATTCAAGTTAAATTCGAAATTTCACATAAATAAGAAGCAGTTTTCAATATTGCCGATGGAGCAGATACTGTGTGTTAAAATTAACACTCACCGTCTTGAAAGCAGCAAGTTTCTTAGGACCCCACAAGCAGTGAGCACCTCTAGGATTAAATTAGCTGTTTCTGTTTTATTACAGTAAATAAAATGATCTCTTGTAGAAGTAACAGTTGTGTATATTTAATCCAAGCCACGAAAATAGAAACCATGAACTTCTTTGTTTCTTGAAAGCTGGAGACACAGACGACCCACCCAGGATTACCCAGAACCCTGTCATCAATGGGAATGTGGCCATGAGTGATGGACATAACAATACAGAGGAGGACATGGAGGACGGTAAGTGCCGGTGGCTTGTGTGTTTGCTGTGGGCGGAAAGCTTGCCGGGAGCACACAAACCAGATGCGGCTGAGTTACTTTAGAGCAGCTAGCTTTCAGGAGGTTGTATCTGAACATCTGAGCCGCTTTTGCTTTTGAATCAAAAGGTTCCCTGTACATTCCCAGGTAAGTAGACTTCACCCCAGCCCAGGTGAGGCGATTCAGATGCCGGTGTTTGTAACAGATGGGCACTTAGTCCTGCCCACACTTTTCCGGCCACGGTTTGTGGCAGTCCAGTTCAGCACAACTGTGTCTCACTCTCCTTTCCTTTCTGTCTGCAACAAGAACCTCCAGACTTTGGAAATCGGCTTTCCATTGCATTGCCACTGTGTATGTGTATATCGGTTGTCTGTGGCCAATAAGCCCTCCTAGCCCCGTGAGGTGTGGAATGAGAGAGTCAAGCTCTGGGCGCCATTCTCCCACACCAACGTCTGGTCTCGATCATAGACATGTGTATGTGCGTGGCCACGTTGTGCTCAGGAGGTCTCTGGTGTTTCGTTGGTTTGGTTGTTTTTCTTCTGGGAGTATGTCTTCATTATAACGTAGACGTTTGCGTGGTCAGAATCCCAAGGAGGTGGCAGCAGGTGATTGCTTTATGCAGCCCCCGGAATCTTGCCCTGTGATACGCAGCCGTGTTGTGTCGTGAGCGCGTCCATCCATCCATCCTCATGAGGGTGTGTCCTTCCCAGGGGAGTAACAGGGCAGTTGAAAGAGACCATCAGTCACAGGCTGCGCCACCAAAAGGACTGCTGTCCAGACCTCCTGCCAAAAGGTCAGCCTCCAGAGAAACTGGAGCTGAGAAACTTCAGTACTGCTTTCCCTGGCCGAGGCGGTATCTGAGGAAGGTAAAGAGGTGTGGGTCAAACCCCATGCTTGGTTACCTGTGGAGCACGCGTCCTTCTGAGACCAGGGCAGCGGTCTGGGTGTGGTCTCTTCTTCAGGACAGGGTGTGAGGTTGGGATCAGTTGTCTTCCCTGTGGAGCAAGAGTGGACCCAACCAGGTCAGATCACACCCCGTTAAGTTTCCCCAGACCAAGCTGATTGATACTAATGTGTCTGCAGTTTTCATTTTGTTTTTCCCACCTAAGGTTGTGGTGGGGAGGCTGTGTGGTTGTAGGTCTCAGGTAGGCTCAGCCTGCACATGGTTGCCATTTTGAGTCCGAGGATTCTTTAGTTTCCACAAAGGCAATTCCCACGAGTGTTTCTGCAGTTTGTTTGTGTCCTCTCTAAGGGGTGGGGAGTGCTGGGCACGGTGTATAGATGTAGATATAAGGTAGGCTTTCTAGCCTAGATGCAGTCTGGGTCAGAGAATTCTTTGGGGTGGGGAAGAGTTGGGTTGTTCTGTGCACTTTAGGAGGGTGCCTATGTCTCTGGGCCCAGAATCACCATGCCTGAGAACCACTAATCCTGTGAGGCTTGGTGAAGGTAAACTCTTTACTTTTGAGGCACATCCTGCTGAGTCTCCAGTAGTAAGTAATGGTGCCTTAGAGCGGGGTTGTGCCCCTGTTCTGGTTTCTGAAATGGAGAGCTAGCTGCAGGAGAAAGAGGGCAGTCTTCTGTAGGGCTTCCCTTCTGGTTGGAATGTGAGGTACCCATTGAAAGGCAGAACGGATTGATGAGTGAAAAGGCTGTATGGACTTTGTGGCAGGACAGAACCTGCTTGGAAGATCGTTCACACACACCCCACCCCTACCCCACCCCCTGTGGTTCCAGGCATAGAATTCTTAGTTTGAGGCCTCGTTTTCCAAGGTGATGTGTCTTGTGAGGCACTGTGTGTGTAAGCATGTGGCTAGGTGTCCAGAATTCTAGGGTGTATGGCGGGGGCTAGGGCAAAGAGTGTCTTGACGGTAGGGCTTCTCACTCTTCACTCTGCTCACATACAGCGCTTCTCCTGAAGAGTTTCATTAGGACCCGCACACTTCAGAACCCCCATTCCCTGAGTCTCACATTAGGACGGCTGATCAGGGAAACATTGGATTAGGATTGTTTGGGACCTGAGTCGTCAGTGCCTTGACCGGTGTGCAGCTCAGGCGTCCTTGTTTGTCTGAGGGATTGGGGAGGGACTAGAGGAATGTACACTTGCAGTGGGGAGCATCCGCAATGAAAGCCGGCCTGTTGCCATCGGTGGTGGAGTCGCTTTTCCGGTCACACTTGCTCTGCTTCCTTTCAGCTCTGCCTTAGACAATCAGACTGCGCCACAGACCTAGACAGACCTAGATTTAGAGTGCTGGAACCGCCTTGGGATCTAACTCGGATCTGCAAAGATTTGTATTAGAGCTCACCGTCCAGGTTTGATGAAATCACTACACAGAAGCCATTTGAGAAAGTGTCAGGCTGGCCTTTTTGATTTAAAAACCCAAAGCGTGGCCTTCTTCTTTGCTTTTCGCCATGTAGCCACAGCCCCGGTCAGTACACTGGCCTTTTAGCTGCGGAGGTAGGATTGGTATTAGAATGGGTGCGTGGTTGGGTTGCTCTGAGCAATGGGATAGCTGATGCCACGCCCACATCCTCCGAGGCCTCGTCTGGAGTTGACCGATGCTAGGTGAACACTCTGTTAGCTTAGCGACAGTGGCTGCGAGCGGGTCAGTGCTTATACCTGGATAACCGTCAGTCCTGAGGATACAGCATATCCTCTCTAATGTCAACCCCTCTCTTTTACCATATAGACGGGCCGCGGGTTACAAACTTACTGACCTACACACAGATCCTGTTAGCCCTTTCATGCGACGTGGGTTTGCCCTGACTTTGAGCTGATTGAACACATACACACACACACACAACACACACACACAGAGCAGTTTGTTAACCCCTTCACCTTCCCTTGCTGCAGCTTTAAGTCATGGAGAGGCCGGGAGCTGAGTGAGGACCATCCACGTGTGCTCTGACTGAGCAGCAAAATCATCAGAAAGCTAGAGCTACAAGAAGGGCTCCTGTTTGCCCTGGCACACTGCCTCTGAGTGCAGATGCCCAGGAAGGGGTGGCACAGCGCAGAGGCTGCTACACGCTTCCTTGAAGACATGTGTTGGTCAGACTCAAGGAACCCCTTCTGGGAAGCTGATTTAGGCCAACCTCTCTGCCAGGGATGGAGTTCAAGTTTGCATCTGTTTTGGGAGGAAGGGATGTGGGGGTCGGCTTGGTAGGGCCTCCTGCCTTGCCATGTTGGTATTTCATTTCCTTTCTCAATTATTGTATCAGTCTGAAGTGTTTAGAACCACTGGGCTGAGATTTTTATTCCTTTGAAGCCTCTTGCTAAACCACTTCATGCAGGTACTGAGGAAAGTTCATTCTAGGAAAGCGCCTGGCGCAGGGGCCAAGTTGTATGCATAATTGGACACACGTGAATGAAGTGCTGGGGCCGTCCCATGTGTGGGGGCAGAGACACATGAACAGGAGAGCCTGCCACTGAAACACGGACTCTCACCCTTGTTTGTGCCTGCCAAGTATTTGAGGAATTCACAAGTTTGGTTAAAACATAAGATTGAAGAACAAAATGGCATTTACTCGTTGTTGGAGCTAAGTGCTATCGAGGTGGTTCCAACTCATAAAGTGTCCCCCCCATCTGTAGTTTCTGAGGAGCAGCTGGTGGGTTTGAACCACTGACCTTACAGTTAGCCTTCCAGTGCTGATTCTATAGCACCACACCAGGCTTCCATTTACTCATCGAATGCATCAGTCTATGTCTACAGAAACCTCCCCTTAAGGAGAGCCATACTGTGGGCTGGCGCGCAGTGAGGCCAGCCTTGCCCCCGGGGGAGGGGATGGGTTGGCTCTCCAGGTGTGCTGTTCTGCAGTGGTCCTCGTTGGGTCGCCTTCTGTATGCTTCCATGGTCTCTGTTAAGCAGGCACATGTTCCTGCTCTAAGGTTACCAGAGTCTGCTGTCGGCTGGTTAGTGTGAACAAATCTTGGGTGCTGAGCCTCTCCGTCAGCACTCTTTTATAAAGCTCTTGGGATTGGCCTCATCACCTCAGTGAGCCTCCATTTCTTCACCTGTGAAGCAGGAATTGAGTAGCACCTACTCTTGCCTGGCACCATTTAAGTACTGCTCAGATGTGATCTGCATGTCTGGAAAAACATGCCGCAGCATTTATCCCTCCTCGAGACGAAGCGTGGTGTCCTTCAGCCAAGGAGGCTCTGATCCGAGTCCTCCTTCAGACAAAATTCCCCTCTTGCAGCGACTCTCCTTCCCAAGGGCCTCTGCTGAGCTGGGCTCTGTAAAGTACAAACTTTAGGGATCAGGTTTTCTTTAAAAAGGTAAAAGTGACAACTGCCACGCATGCTTTCGATTTTTATTTCTTTGGTGCCAGCGACCACCCTCTCCTGAGGACTATTGGACATGTTTTCTCAAGAACCAATCCAGTCAGATGCACAAGTTCTTACACTGAGAATGACAAGTACTGAGAACTCGCTGGTATTGGGAGCTTGAGGGGCAGGGAGGTCACGCAAACCTGCACCTGACTCTGACCCAAGAGACGCTTGTCCATAGGCTCCACTGATCCCGTAGTGCGGCTCTGGTCCCACCTGTCACCAGCAGGACAGGGCCAGAAAGCATGAGGAAACCTTCACAAATGGACGTGGCAATCTGTCCATGTGGCAGTAACTTCCCTGGGTTTTATAAAAGTGCTCGTCAGGTTGGGGGCACCCACATGTGGAATGTTGATTCCAGTCTGTGGTTCATACATACACCCGCCTCAGCTTGCAGCACACGGTTGGATTTTAGACTGTGACCGCCACACTGTTCTTTTCATTGACAGGAATCTGAATTCGTTATGTTAACACCTGCCATGGAGACTCTTCACATTTCCTGTGTTTTGTGTGATTCCCCCCCCCGAGAGAGCCCATGGAGGGTCTTCCATGGGAATTGTGATTCCATGACGTTCATGTTTAGCTTTAGGACACCCTCTGAGCCATCTTCCTGCCTCCCACAGTTCTGTGCTTCCAGGGCACTGGCGGGCCCCTTCACCTCATGGTGCCCCCACCTACCTCAGTTTCCTTCTCTAGATGCTACCACATCGCTGGTCCTCTCCCCTCCACAGTCCTGTTCCTGACCACATGAGCCCCACTGCCCCCGATTCCTTGTGAAGGAAACCCCGCAGCATAGACATTCCTCCCACCATGTGCAAGGGGAGGCTGGGCTGCTGACTGTCATGGGTCTTCTGAGTTCTGGATTTCATAAGGGAAGGGTCTGTTTATACAGATCCATAAGCCACCTCGCTTGCGTGTAGGTGGTCAGCAAGCTGGAAAGGATGCTGTTGTTTACCGTTGTGGTTGCAGAGATATGTTTGATGCTGTGAGTTTAGTTTGAAGATGCCCGGGCCTCGGTGACTGATGCCACTTTCTCTTGCAGACACCAGCTGGCGCTCTGAGGCCACCTTTCAGTTCACCGTGGAGCGCTTCAGCAGGCTGAGTGAATCGGTCCTGAGCCCTCCGTGCTTTGTGCGAAATCTGCCCTGGAAGATTATGGTGATGCCACGCTTTTATCCAGACCGACCTCACCAAAAAAGCGTAGGATTCTTTCTGCAGTGCAATGCTGAATCTGATTCCACGTAAGATTGCTGAACAATGAGCTTACCAGGCCCCTAGTGCTTCTGTGATTTAATCAAAAGCCGGACTTGATTGGCCAAATGCCGTTTCTCTTTTCCTTGCTGCATCCCTTTAGTTGTTTAAATATATTTCTTTCTTATAAACCCATTGGTAGGTATTCCGTATACTCAAACCAGAAAAGCTTATTTTAAAAAAGCAAATAAAGAACTGTCAAGCAGAAGGTTCTAACCCTCCAAGAAGGTACCTTGGAAGACAAGCCTGGCATCTGTTCTTGAAGGGCTCAGCCTTGAAGACCCCGTGGAGTAGCTCTGCTCTGTACATGTGGGGTGGTTAGGGGTCAGAACCAACAACAGCATGGGCAGAATACAGATGAAGGCATTCCTTAAGACTTTTGTAACCTGTGCCCCTGGCTTATTTTAGGGGTGGGGGAGGGAATTATATATATATGTATACACACACACACATAGATATATTTTAATTCATGTAATTTCAAAACTGAAATATATTATAAAAGACTTAAAATTGAGAATAATCTTGGTGGCCTATTGAGATAAAACCACCACAGTTAGAAATTTCACCTTTTTATGGGTACTTCAAGCTTTACGCCTATTGGTTCTAAGTCAAAGGTTTACGGTTCTCCCCTCCGTGGGTTGTTGTTGTTACATGCCATTGAGTCGGTTCCGTCTCATAGCAACCCTTTGTGGGGTTTCCAAGGAGCGACTGGTGGGTTTGAACTGCCGACAGTGTCACCTTCTAGCAGACGTCAAATTGGCAGGTTGTCTGAGGCACGTGGGTTATTGTCCGAGCGCCCCGCCACCTCCAGCGTGTTGCTTCCTGGAGCCCTTACTTTGCTCCAGCCTGTAATCCATTCTTTTCTTTCTTTGGCTTTAATGTTCAGAGTGCCAAGCCAACTTAAGGATGCAGCTAAGGCCTGTTGTTGTTAAGTGACGTGGAGTCAGTTCTGACTCATAGCAACCGTACACAGGGTTTCTAATGAGTGGCTTTTGGGTTTGAACTGCCAACCCTGCAATTCTAAATGACTTTGCAGTTGAGCACATTATCCTGCAGTACCGCATCAAGGCCTAGCTTAGCTGTAGGTTAAGAGTCTTGCCCATGATGGTGTTCCCACTGGGGTCTGACCAGATGTGTCATGGGGTTGCACTTGGTTAGATGAGTCGACGAATTTAACCTGAATTGTTGTTGGTCAGAGTGTGGTTTCCATCAACCAAGTGTAGGTGTCCCAAGCAGCCAGAAGACCGCTGTGCCGGCACTCGTTTTAAAGCGTCTTAACTGGTTCAGGATTCACTTGTAACCCTCACTCAGACAGCCCAGTTTTTTGTTACTGAGAATAGCCAGGGTGGAAAACGCACCAATCCAATAGTGTCTGTGTTGCTAACGTTCTTCCAATCCAATAGTGTCTGTGTGTACACTTCAGTGACGTTGCTAACGTTCTTCAAGTTGTGAAGCCATTCTCTCCTGCTTTTTCTAAATTGTTCCTCTCCCACTAACATGAAGTCACTGCCCCAAGCGTCCTGTCTTCTCTCAAGTTGCTGTTATTGATTTGATCTCATGTAGATGGTTCTTAGAAGCGCACAGTGCAAGAGGTAGTCATAAAGCCCCATTTTAATACAATCCTTCACTTTGGTGGCTTTTTGAAGCCACCTGTCTTTAGGGTGTTTAAACGTTGTACCACTCAGCTGCCTTGAGGGTCCGCTCTCTTGTGGGCAGGTGTGCACATGCCCAGAGTTCTCTGGCATTGGTGGAGAAACAGCTACCAGGTCACAGACGCCATATTTCTGGGGTCTGCTATGCAGACAGGCAGGAGGGAGTTGCTCCTTCAGAGAACCTGGAGGCCACTGTGCCTGTGTCCTGCAGGGACAGGGTAACATAACGAAGTGGCCGCAGCACTATTTGAATCTGGAGGTTGTTGTCTGTTCATCCATCCCAAAATCCCCATTGTCATAGTTCTTTCCTTTTCCTCTTCTTTAAAAATTATATTCATGTCAAATACGGGCACTGTTTGATGATCAAAAGCTAGTCTTCTACAAAATCAAAAATTTTTTTTAATTCAGAAACTTACTGTATAGAGACCAAAATAAACTTAGCTTAAGATTGTGTAGACATGACAGTTTTTTGTTTAATACACTCGTGAATTAAAACTCTATATACAGGCACCCCTAAACCATTTTAACATCTTTCCCATCAGAGGTTAAATGTGGCCACACACATGCACACATAAAAAGAACAAATAAAAAACAAATTTTTTTTAACTCTAAAAAATATGGGTGCATTTTGTGTGTGTGTGTGTGTGTGTGTGTGTGTGTATAGATAAACAGAACTTTTCCCCTGCTGGTTTTGCTTGGTGTCTTTTTGTACCAGAAGAATGCATGCAGGTGAATCAGACCTACCACGGAAGGCTTAGACTGCTGTCTGTCTGTCTGTCTGTAAACAGGTCGTGGTCTTGCCACGCACAGGCCGTACTGAAGATCATAAACTACAGAGACGACGAGCGGTCCTTCAGCCGCCGTATCAGCCACCTGTTCTTCCATAAGGAAAACGACTGGGGCTTTTCCAACTTCATGGCCTGGAGCGTGAGTTAGCAGTGCACTTGTCTGGGCATCAGTGCCTGTCCCCGCCTCGCTCCCTTCTGTAGATCCCCTTTGTCGATTGAAAAATTTCCAGACGTTGGGGTGAGGGGTCTGTGGACACGCATTTCCTCCACTTTCCCGGCAGAGGTTGTTAGCAGTTGTCTGGATCAAGTCTCATCTTGTCACCAGATACTGAAAGGCAGTTGTAGCCTTCCTGAGGAGCTGAGATTCCTATAAAAGAAACAGCACATCGGGCTCCATCCCTGAGTTAACAGTCACACCTGGGACATAATGAGTCCATTTACCACAGGGCTCTCGGGTAGCAAGCATCCAGCTCTTATGCAAGTTGGATCTCCTCTTTTCTTTTTCATAGGAGGTGACCGATCCTGAGAAAGGGTTCATAGACGATGACAAAGTTACCTTTGAAGTCTTCGTCCAAGCGGATGCTCCCCATGGAGTTGCGTAAGTTTCCCCTTAATGGAGTGATAGTCCAAATGTCTGTGCTGGGGTGAACTGTGCTCGGGTCTTTATTTAACGGAGTGATAATCCATATGTCTGTGCTGGGGTGAACTGTGCTCGGGTCTTTATTTAACGGAGTGATAATCCATATGTCTGTGCTGGGGTGAACTGTACTCGGGTCTTTATTTAACGGAGGTGCGGGTGTCCCGGAAACAAGTCCCCTCTCTGTGCTCACACACACACCTTACCAGGGAGTGCCCTGTGCTGGTCACTGGCTGCATCACCGGGACATCACAGTTTTCTGTCCTCAGAGACTGTCCGGTGATGGGGAGCAGGGAGAGAGGGGAGGAGCCGCCGGGCAAGCTCAGTGATAGTGAGGCCTCCGGACCCGCCACGTTGTGCTGTCCAGTCCTGGAAAATCTCTGTGCAAGAGGACGTTTCTGCCCTTGACACGTGTGAGGATTGAGCCATTGGCTGATGAGGAGGGACTCAGGGAGGAGAGTTGGAAGAAAGACCAGCAGAAAAGCTAGGCATCAGGCAGAACAGCGGGAACGTGGACACTGGGTCGAAGACAGAGAGGACGAGGGAAGTTGGGATGAGGTTCTGAAAGCCTCCTTTTCTATGGTGACGCATGCTGAGCAAGATTGGGTGTCTCTCACATGTTATTCTCTCTGTTTCCACTCTGGCTAGTAAGCACAGGATGCCTGGGGAAAGGCAGGGGCAGAGCAGTCAGGGCCCGTGGCCTGGGGGTGGGGGGGGTGGCATTGAGAACCCAGGTGGGACCCATGTAACCAGACAGCTGTGGGTTGGAGGGGCCCGAAACAAAGGGGGGAACGTGGCTCCTAAGGGAAGGCAGAACTCAGGAGTGGGAGGCTAGTTCAGAGGCGGAGGGGAGTGCGTTTGTGAGGTTGTGTTGTGGTGAGGCACCTTGGCCATGCAGGGAGGACTGGGGCGCGGAGGGAGGCGGTCAGGAGACAGGGATGTGATGAAGACTCTGAACCAGGGGCCAAGGAAAAAAAACAGAAAGTGGAGGTTACACTGTTGGGGACCACCAGGTGTGGTGAAGGTCATGCCGAGACACAGGGTTCTGGAGACAACTGGGCCCACCGTGGAAGGTGTGCTACAGCCATAGCTGTATGCGAGAGCAGCCCGCTGGCTATCTGAGCGTCTGGTGGCTGTGGCGATTCTGCCGGGACACGAGTCTACAGCAGGTTTACTTGCTGGAGCTCTGGAATATAAGCTCCATCTCCAGCCTTCATGGTTCATCTGATAGGATGTCCAGACAGATAGGGACGAGAGATGCCCTCCAGTTAGTATCAGATGGAAAGTGTCTCCATTCCAAAAGGAAACTTGGGATTAAGGTGTTGCAGGATAATACTCTGGACCGCAAGGTCAGTTTGAACCACGAGGCATCGGCGCTTCAAACCCACCAGCCACTCCGCGGAAATCCTATACAGGGTTACTATGAGTTGGAACCGACCTGATAGCACTTAACAGCAACAAAGCATTTTGGAGACTTTGAAGGTTTGGAGATTCTTTCCCAGGATCCCTGTGTTTGCACGTGTAGCCCACCCTGTGGGTGATGCTGTGCGCTGATGCTGGGATGGCCCCAACCCTGGGGTCCTCGTTTCCGAGGCCTGAGGGCATGCTGCCTGGAGCAGTTGAACTTGTCTTCAGATTCTTCCAACAGCTCTACCTTGTCAGAGGTACTGTAGTTTTTAATGCAAGAGAAGTCCATTCTAAATAGGATTTATGAGCGTTCATTGGATGAATTTCCACTTGAAGAACAGGAATCAATCTTCTCAGCCGACATTTAAAACCTATGCTTAGGTTGTATGTAGACATGTTGTTAAGTGTCGTCCAGGTGGTTCCAACTCATAGTGACCCTGTATCAAGTTTCCAAGGAGCGGCTCGGGTCTGAACCGTTGACCTTTTGGTTAGCAGTGCAGTGTGTATCCTGCAGCACCACGTGAACGTGGGTGGGTGTTCCTAATTGATGGTGGTGGTGGTGTTTTTGTTGTCCATCTAGCTAGTAGTCTGGATTTTTTTTTTTTTTTTTTTTTTAGTCTTTCCAATCAAAACATTTCTGGATTCCGTTTTGTCAAAATCAGTTCAGCCTCATGTTATCATGTAAACCTTTTTCTGAGTGTGGTTTTCAGGACTCCTGACGGTGTAACATTTCTTTATTAATTACCTCCACACACCTGCAAGCGCTCTATACCTGGGGCCACACGGCACAAGTGGCCACTGCTTCCACAAGCCCAGGAGCTACAGTCCTGTGGACCCCTGACCTCAGATTTGACAAACTCCTGACTTTCACCTCCACTGGTCTTTCAGGTGGGATTCGAAGAAGCACACGGGCTACGTCGGGTTAAAGAACCAGGGAGCAACCTGCTACATGAACAGCCTGCTGCAGACTCTGTTTTTCACAAACCAACTACGAAAGGTCAGTGGACCGTGTTGATGTCCCCCAGCCTCCCACTCAGCTTCCTTGCTCGGGCACATTAAGGAGACAAGCAGAGGCCCCTCCCTGGACCCCCACACACAGACTCTGAAGAAGGGCGCTCTGTCTGGAGCCCCTTACTTAGATTCCCCACCCCACTCCCCGGAGGCATCTATCTGCCTCTTAACTGCTTCCCCGTACTTGGGTGATGAAAACTCATACTACCACTCATAATGTGACCCACCTAACTGGGATGGATTCGCCTAAGAAATCATTTTATAACACAAGGGAGAGGTGGTGGTTTCATGTAAAAGATGTGAGATGTGGCATCTGAAAAGCCATCCAGTTAGAAAAACCACTGGCTGCAAAGTCTGATAATCACTTACTAACAGACAGAACTTACAATATTAACAAAAACTATAGCTGCACCTCCCTTGAGCTTCATGTAGACTCTGTAGTTACCTGTAATGTAAGGATTTCCTGGTGTTTGATCGAACTGTTGATTGGTTGGTTGGTTGGCTGGTGAGATTCACCATACCATTCTAGTCACTCTCAGGCACTATGTTAGGAATTACCCCCTGCAGCTGAGAATGGAGAGAGCTGGGTATGGATAATGTTGCTAGCCCGTCGAGTCTGTTCTGGCTCAAAACGACCCTCTTTCTGAGATGTGGCTGGTGAGCCTGAACTGCCAACTGTGGTTCAAACGACTTTGAAATCCAGTGCATTAACCCACAACACTAAACCAGGATTTCCATGGATAATATTGTTGTTGTTAAGTGCCATCAAGTCAATTCTGACTCACAGCGACCCTGTGTAGGGTTTCCGAGGAGCAGCTGGTGAGCTTGAACCCACTGACCTTGCAGTTCAAACAGCTTTGCAGTCTGGCTCATTAACCCACAGTGCCACACCAGGACTCCATGGATAATATTGTTGTTGTTGTGAAGTGCCGTCGAGTCGATTCCGACCCATAGCGACCCTGTATAGGGTTTCCAAGGAGCAGCTGGTGAGCTTGAACCTCCAGCCTTGCTATTCAGACAACTTTGCTGTCTGACGCATTAGCCCACAGCACATATTAGTAGCTTATAAATTTGTATCAAATCTTTTGTTTGCACCTAGCGGTAAGCTTTAGATATTGCTCAAAAGTGTGAAATAAGAGTAGTTGTCATTGGGTGAAAAGCTATAAACCATAAAATTATAAAAACAAGAACACTGCCATCAAGTCAATTCGGACCCATAGTGACCCTGTAGGACAGAGTGGAGGATCCCCGTAGGGGTTCCAAGACTGTCCATCTTTCATGGAGCAGAGAGCCGTATCTTCCATGGATTGACTGTTGGGTTTGAACCACTGACATTTTGGTTATCAGCCTGTCATTTAACCCACGGGGCCACCAGGGCATCCGATAAGTTACAGGTACTTTAAAAAATTGTTTTAAATTTCTTAAGTTTTCTTAATTGTGTCTAAGGACTTAACTGAGTTTTAAAAAATATTTTTGTTGGAGGAGGTGGATGGAAGTGACGGTAGAGCACAGGGTAGGGGGCAGACACATCATAGTTCAGGTGTTGGAGAGGGCGATACACAAGAAGGGGGAGGGGGTGGAAGAACAAGAGAGATAAGGGGAACACTTAGAACAGGTTAAATGGGCTAAATGGGACAGAGGTAAATAGTGATGCATGCTCAACCTTGGAACAACAGGGCTCTGTGATACAGGGATCGAGGCATAGTCTGAAGAGGAGAAATAATGCTAAAATGCTTGACTGTCTTATGAATTGGTTTCCCTTGCCTACTATTATAAAATGGACACTTTAGTGGGATAGAAAGGAATGTTGAAAAATGATTACAGAAAACTTGTAAGCCCGTCTTCAGCCTATAACTGATTGGAATACCTGAAAGGGGTTCTAGAACTTGCCCAGTGAAATAGACCTCTTACAAAGCTTTTGCAGAGTATAGGACCTTAGGTGGAATCCTGAGTCTCATCCAGAACCTTATGAGGTGGGACATTCCAACTTGCAAAGACAAGTAGACCAGCCTGGAACAGCTAGAGCAACAGAAGATAAATCTTCATAGAAAGATTATCAGGAAAAACCCAAAACAAAAGTGTCAGCATGACTGGCTACTACAAGAATAAGCAAGTTGTTCATTGGGAAGCCATCAAGGCAAGCAATCTAATTCCTTTAGGACAAACCCCCCTCTAAGACGGAAGCTCAGAAGGAACACATGAGCAGGCATGTAAGCTTGCTTGGTGACCACATTGGTGTACTGGTGAGTGAAAGAGGGAAAGGCAGCAATGAAGAAATGGGCTGAGTTGAACCATGTTCCATAGACTCCCATTGGACCTGGAGATGAGCAAGAGAAGAGGAAGGACTGGTTGGTCCAAAGTGTGGTGAGACCTGGGGACACTTGAGACCATCGACAAAGACATAGCCACAGAGGGCTAGAGCTGAGAGTGAAGCATTCAGCTGATATGAAGTGAGAGGAGATGCACAAGAACACCCAAACTTGCAGACAGTATCCATTTGACCTAGCCTCGATGACTTGATAATTTTGATAAAGGAAACGATGGCAAATTGCTACAATTTGATGAATTTGACCTTATTCATGGAGGTAGTAGCTCAAAATACCAACAGAAACGGAAGGAGTCTTCACATCAAATATCAATGCTATCCGCTCTGTACACAGGGTAGATAGGGACGGGCAACTTAGACGTTGGCTACTGAAAATGAGAGGGCGATAAAGGCACAAAGTGACTGGCTTACAAGGTTTCAAGAGGGAGTTTAGTTTAAGAGTTTGTGTGTGTGTGTGAATGGAATATTCTTGGCCTATTTGTTGCTGAGTGCCATCGAGTCTGTTCTTACTCATAGCGACCCTGGTTAGGGTTTCCTAGGAACGGCTGGTGGGTTTGAACTGCTGACCTTGTGAGCAGCCCAGTGCCAATCCTGCAGCACCACAGTTAAATACCCTAGCAGTGACCTTTACGCCCTGGTGTTTTCCCAAATGGTCCCTTTCATGTACAGTGTAATTCTTGATTTCTTCATCGATTCTTTTAGGCTGTGTACATGATGCCAACAGAGGGCGACGATTCATCTAAGAGCGTCCCTTTAGCATTGCAGAGGGTCTTCTATGAACTGCAGCACAGTGACAAACCTGTAGGAACCAAAAAACTAACCAAGTCATTCGGGTAAGTGTGCAAAGCCGGCCCTGCCCACACGGCTGCCTCCTTGCTTTGTCAGGACGAAGGCTTGGAGGAGGCAGAGCGTGGGCCTCACATATACGCAGGTTTGCCGTTTCATTACCCCCAGTGTTTCTGTCACTGTATTTGGCGTCACCTCTGTGGAAACCAAAGCTCTTTAAGAATTTGATTCACCACTTAAGTTTCCAAGGAGAGCACATGCAGCGTCCCCAGTCTGCTTGCTTTCCTTAGGACCAAGATCCAAACAATGTGGACACGTTAGTGTCCATGGATCCATGAAACTCATGGACCCAGGAGTCCATTGCAGCTCATAGAAACCCTTCAGAATGTAGTAGAACCGCTCCTTTGGGTTTGAAGGCTGTAGTCTTCTCTTGAAGCAGACTGCCTCAGCTTTCTGCCGCAGAACGCTAGTGGGTTTGAACCACTGGGGCCCCTTCTTGTTTGAATTACAACCCCCTCTCACACATAGTCTCCATTCATAAATGCAGTGAAGCACAGTGGTTGATTACTCACCATTTTGGTTTTTGTAACCCTCTCTTGTGCACTTTGGGAGGTTAAGTTCTGTGCTCCTTTTCTTTCAAAGGTGGGAGACTTTAGACAGCTTCATGCAGCATGATGTTCAAGAGCTGTGTCGTGTGGTAAGTTGCAAGCCATGAATTGTATAGTTCTGACATCTCAGATCCGAAGCCGCATCGGAAGCCAGTACCCCGAGTCAACCCCACAGGCTTCCTTCATCCTTCCGTCAACTATAGTTGAAACAACACCTACCTATCTTCACACAGGACCAAATCAGGCTAGAAAGACACAGCCGGCACGCCATCTAGTTTAAAAGCCAGAGAGAAGAAACAAAGGTGGCATACTGTTTCAGGTGTTCAGGGTGGCTAGAGTGGAAATAGAAGCTGATTCTTAATGTGACACAGTGAGTTGACTTAGGCTACCGCCCCGATTGTCCTGCGTTGATCCAGACAATGACTGTAGATCCTCCTCTGGTTCTCCCACTTGTAGGGGTCCTAGTCCCTCCAGGAAGAGAGACTCTCTCTCTCTCTCTCTCTCTCTCTCTCTCTCACTCACTCACTCACACACACACACACACATAAAACATGGAATGGTTATTCAAAGCGATTGGCTGGGCAAGGTGTATTTTCTTTTTTGCAGCAGTGGCTGGATTGAATCCAGTTCATTAAGTATCCATGGATAAACCAGTCAGTCCTGTTGACAGGCTCCTCAACCTCATTAATCCCTTGGTGTGGACCATTGCAAGTGAAGTTCAGTGCTTAATTTACATGACTTTGCACAGAGCTACAGTGAATATATACATACACAGTGCTTGTAAAGGCACGGCAGACCATTCATCCCAAAGGCTATGAAAGAGCGCAATCTCAACTGCTACGTGTAGAGGGTTTTTCCTTCTTTTTTTCAATAATGTAAATACCCAATCGAAGAAGATGGTTTTGTCGTAAGTTTTTAATAATTGCATGCCAAGGGTCATAATAGTATGTCTCATCTAGAATTTCGTTGGCCATTAAAATAGCCTTGTCAGGTTTCTAAATAGACTGTTTTGAGTGTAACATGCATGTTTTCTTTTTTCATTAAAGCCCCAACTTTTTTTCTTTTCAGTTGCTTGATAATGTGGAAAATAAGATGAAAGGCACTTGTGTAGAAGGCACCATTCCTAAATTATTCAGAGGCAAAATGGTGGTATGTGCTGACCAGTCTCAAAGAATGATTTTTTAAAATACTGTGTATACGTGTGTGTGTATATATATATATATATATGGTGGTGATATGCCCCGGAGACACAGCTCACACACAGAGACACCCTATAGAGGGTCTCAGACGGTAAAAATCTACACAAGAACAAAAACCCACATCTCTCCCCGGCAAAACAGCGGAGAGTCAAAAACCGCACAACGAGAGGCGCACACCAAAATGCAAAAACAACACGACAACAGAGCCACATACATAGAGGTGGTGAAAAGCGCTGGAGACGCGGCCCAAACACACAGAGACCCCACAGCAACACAACACCCCCACAGAGAGAGATGTGAATGTGTATGTGTGTATGTGTTTTCTCACTACCAGTACATAACGTGGTCTTCTCTTCCTTCTTGTAGTCCTACATCCAGTGTAAGGAAGTAGATTACCGGTCTGATAGAAGAGAGGATTATTATGACATCCAGCTCAGTATAAAAGGGAAAAAGAACAGTAAGTGTGTCATGAGTCCATGAGCTTTGGGGTCACCTCAGCTTTGCTTTATGCTTCGCTTAGACGAGTCCTCTTTAGGGCAATGGATGCTGTAGCGTTCTAAAGCTCACATGCTTCTAAGTGTTACACACGTCACAGACTAGAGCACCAACCGGCACACGCAAGTCCCCAGAGCCTTGTCCTTTCACAGCTGCCGCCGCCTCTCACCAGAGGAAACCAGTAAACACTGATCTTGAGGGCCCAGCCCCTAAGTTTACGTGTCTTAGATGTGGTCGTTGGCAGAATTGTAGGGAGTGTGGTCATTTCATCTCTTTGAGAATCTGCTCCTCTCAGTCCATCGAGACCAGAAGACAAGTTGTCCTTCCCGTCCTTTGTCCTCTGGACACTTGCTCTGTTTGGGATTACCAGTGTTCTCACCCTGCGTGCATCCTGATTCTACCCTCATGATACTGCCGTGGGGTGCACAGAATTAACTTTTAGCGAAACTCACTGTGTCTAGCCCTAAAACACGGTCACCTTCCTGAAAGTCACAGTAGTTCTTTGGGGTTCCAGAACTTGTATTATTTTGTTTACGCCATGGACACAGCCCCCCTGAAAGAGTTCCGTGCTGGGACACCTCAGCCCAATGTGGATGTCTCACTGCTCTGCCAGACTTCCTCCTCGCTCTGAAACACGCCTCTGCCGCCAGTCCGCAGTCTTAGTTGTATGGGTCTCTTTCTAGGCTCTTCTTCCATGTATCTGTTGATTCTTGGGCCATCTTCATGCTGGTTTACAAAAGCGGTGCCCTTAAAATAAGTGCTGTGCTTAAAACTTGCACTTTCCTGTTACCTGATGATGTTATTAAAACCATCAGGAACACCCTTGAGAGGCGTAGCCATGTTCCTAGCCTTCACACCTGTTCGTGAGTGGGAATGGCTCACTGAGCTACCGTCTTTAGCAGAGGGCGAGAGTTCCCCTGAGCAGCCTCACTTCCCCCTTCTCGTCTCTAGTACTCGAGTTTGCACATGTGTGCACACCGCCCTGTCTGTGGGAGAAAGACAAGACCGCACCTGTCACACACTGTACAGTGTCAGAAACCTTGTGTTGGAACAGCCCTGTACCCTGTGAGGTTGCTGTGAGTCAGGACTGACTCGATGGCTCTGGACTGTGTGGTTTTATGTGTATGTGTAGGAGGACGCTTCAGAACTTTCATGGAAAAAAGGAATAAACAGCTCCTGGAATGATTCCGCGAACTTTGGGATGCCCCTTTGTGCATATATACGAAAGAGTTCATCCCTGGACTAACTGCGTTGGTAACGAAGGTTCGGTGCTTGCTTTGGCTGACTTCTGTTTCTCTCTTTAGTCTTTGATTCCTTCGTGGATTATGTGGCGGTCGAACAGCTGGACGGTGACAACAAGTACGATGCCGGGGAACATGGCCTGCAGGTAAGCCCTCTCGGTGAATCCCATACTCCGCAGCCCTGTGGGGTGTGTGCTTTTGTTTGGTGTTCTGCATGCGATCCCTCACCGTGCTCAGAGGGTGTTGTTGGCAAAGGCTCTGGGCATTGCTTCTGTCCTGAGACCCAAGGGTCTGTGTGTCAGGGTCCCCCCACCTGATGACGTCAGTGCTGATAGTGGGAGTATGTTAGCCACGGTACCTGCGTAGTGTTTACTGTTTGTGCGAGAAATGGCTCTTTGTGCATGCCACAGGGACATGGTGGCCCTGCCTCTTCCTTTGGAGATGCAAGCAGCGCAGCGAGTGCCAGGCCCTGGTGGTAGCCCGAGTGTGGCTGTAACTGGACTGGGAAGGCCACAGTCACAGGTGGGCCCAGGGTCCACATTGCAAGCTCATGACCTTGACTCGCCCTTCAAACAAAGTTGCTGATGTAGACAGGCCTGGGCTGTGTGAACAAGCTGCCAATTCATGAGTCACGTGTCCTGCCTGGCAGATCAGAAGGTCACTCTGCAAACAGCAGTTAGAACAGAGACACCTGACGTGCTGCCGGACAATGTGGTCAGCTCATGAGAGCCACCTGTGTCAACCAGGATACTTTGAGATCGGGATACACAGTGTGTCGTTTAGAGCCCTTTTCTTTCCCGTTACCGTGGGAGCAGGTTGTTCCTCTGTGTGAAGTAGGTTCCTTGGCTTTGGTTTTTTCGTCATTCCTGAGATGCCCCGTCCCTTAAAAGTACTGACATTCAGCAAAGAACATGGCCAATCAGGTGTGCCTGGGTCCAGCTGCCCACCTTCCAGGCTCCCGTTCCCTGGCAGGTGGTGACAGTTGAGAAGAAAAGTCTGCAGTGGAAATTCAACCCCAGACGAGATGTGAGGCCCCAATGGTGGGGGTCACCAAGGGCTAGCACAGAAGGAAAAGTTGACCTGGGAAGACCGAGGCCTTGTGTCAGGGCTGGCCTGGACGGACTCCTGTAAACCAGAGACTGCAGTTACAGAAACCCTGTGCTGCTTGGTCAGAGCTTTAGAATCTCTCTTTTAGAGTATGCATGGAGTGTGCCCCAGCACATGGCACAGAAACATCACGGGCGAGCCCTTGGACCGGAAGCCCACTGCCCCCAGGCGTCATTGTGCAGCGCTGGCCTCGGTTTTTGTGCGGTTCCGTAGTTCTCGTAATGTTTCACCAGGGTCTTGGACAGCAGCCGTGGCTAGGCCTCTGCCTCCTCGCCGTCCCCTTCGCTAGAAGCCCGCCTGTGTCACGTGCCCTGTAACAGCAGGAGCCAGGGTGCCAACCAGAGAAAGGCCCCCCGCCCCTTCCCCACCACCACTTGCTGTAAAGCTTTGAGAAACAAGGCGGCGAGGTGAACTAACTTTGTATTTCTCTTCCATTGTTCAGGAAGCCGAGAAAGGTGTGAAGTTCCTAACGTTACCACCAGTGTTGCACCTACAACTGATGAGATTTATGTACGACCCTCAGACGGACCAAAACATCAAGATCAATGATCGGTAATGGATGGCCTGCAGCCTGCGGGGGTGGGGTCTTGTCTCTGTGTACTCAGCTCTCCCACCTCATCCTCAGGGTCCCAAGAAGTGTCACCTTCGGGGGGGAGGAGGGAAGCCCTGGAGGATACCCTGGTCACAGGTCGTCAATCCCAGATCCCCTCTGCGCTGTGGTGGGTTAAAGTTCCTGAAGACAGAACTGCCGCTTCGTGAGTGTTGTTCTCACCAGCATCTCCGATAGCATTGGTTTGTTTGTGGCCAGAAGGCAGTTGAAGCTCAGATGTGAAAATTTGACATTAGTGTTATTTATCAAAATAGTATTCTGTAAATAGGAAACAGACAAATGAAAAAATACAACTCAAACTCACTGCCATCAAAGTCACTTCTGTCTCCATAGCAAGTGAGCCTATAGGACAGGGATTCTGAGGCTTTACACTATGGGAACAGAAGGTCTCATCATTCCCCACAGAGCAAGTCGGCTGGTGGGTTTGAAGGATGGACCTTATGTTAGCAGATGAGCACTTCGCCATGGGCTCCACCAGGGACCCTCTAGAGCTCATTAGTACCTGACAGTATCTTAGTTGCTATGAACTCATAGAATGTGCTAGAATGTTTCAAAGTGCTGCCGTCTGCGGGAGTGTGTCCCGTCTCAGGTGTTGAATTCTAGATCCTTGAAATACCAGGTACAGGGCAGGTGCCTTTCTGCTTTGATTGCAGCCCCCCACTCACCCCACCTCCCTGTCTTTTCTGGTCCCTGGAGGCAGCTTTCAGTGGGCACCCCCAAAGATTGCGTTTGCCTGTGTAAAGCCATACTTTTGTATGAAGCCCATTCTGGCGAACCAAGGTGCCCAGCCTTGATGCCTTTTGAGCTGTCTCCTTCCCTTTTCCAAATCTGATTTTTGTCCTGTTTCTCAAGCTATAGTATCGCCTCGTGGTCTGACTCCTGGACCTTCAGAATCATTCACTTACATTCAGAATCACTCACATCTGAACAATCCAGGGTGTCCATTTATCAAAAGATCGGCTGTAGTGTGAGGCCCATGAGCTTAAACTGTCAGACCGCCATGACGAGTTCATATTTTGTGTAAATCTAACTTTATGTGAATTTGTCTTGTTAAGTAGAGGGAGCTCTGGTAGCGTAGTGGTTACAAATCGGGCTGGGAACCGCAAGGTCAGCAGTTCGAAATTACCAGCTGTTCCGTGGGAGAAAGATGAGGCTTTCTGCTCCCATAAAGATTTACAGCCTCGGAAACCCTGTACAGGGTCATTATGAGTCAGAACCGACTCCACGGCACACAACAACAATAAGAAGTAGAGGTTAAAGAGCCCTGTGGTGCTTGGGTTAGGCATTGGGCTGTTGACTTTGATGCTGGCCCTTTAAACCCACCGGCAGCTCCACGAGAGAAGGATGGGGCTGCCTGCTCCTGCGTAGGTTTACGGTGTGGGAAACCGTATGTGGTGGTGCTGGTGGTGCTAGGGACCAGTGAATCGATTCTAACTCAGACGGACCGCATGCCCAACAGAATGAAACACTGCCCGGACCCACACCATCCTCACAATTGTTGTTAAGCTTGAGCCCCTTGATGCTGCCACTGTGTCAGTCCATCTCCTTGGAGTTGCCCTGCATTTTACCGAGCATGATGTCCTCCTCCAGGGGCTAGTCCCTCCTGATAACATGTTTGAAGTATGAGGGTCAAACTCTAGCCATCCTAGCTTCTAAGAAGCATTTTGGTTCTACTTCTTCCCACACAGATTTGTTTGTTCTTTTAATATTCTCCTCCAGCACTATAACTCAAATGCATCAATTCTGCCGTCTTCCTTACTTGCTGTCCACCTTTCACATGCATATGAGACTATTGAAAACAGCATGGCTTGAGTCAGGTGTGCCTTAGTCCTCAAACTGACATCTGCTCCTGAAATAGGTCAATACATCACTTGGTTTCTTGACTGCTGCTTCCGTGAGGGTGGTGGCTATTAACTAGAATTGACTCATTGGCAGTTGGTTTGAGGTTACCTGTAAAATTAGTGAAAGGGTTCTCCACGCCTTTCCTTCGAAAGCCCAGGCAGCCTGTTAGTAATCAATAGAGCCCGGCGGTGAAATGTTGGACACAGAAATGAAAGCTGCCTTTCTCTGAAAATGTTTTTCAATAGGTTTGAATTCCCCGAACAGTTACCACTCGATGAATTTTTGCAAAAAACAGATCCTAAGGACCCTGCCAATTACATCCTTCATGCAGTCCTGGTTCACAGTGGGGACAACCATGGCGGACATTACGTGGTTTATCTCAACCCCAAAGGGGACGGCAAAGTAAGCAGTGGGGATGTGGGTGGAGGCGGGTGTGGGCGGGTCGGGGAGTTGCATTCTGAAGCCACGCGTCATTCTTCTTGCTCAGGGTCAGTGGGCTTGCTGACCCAGAAGTCTTCCTCGGCCTCAGCGGTATCTCTGTTCTCTGGTCTCCTGCCCCATTAGTTTCTGATGCTGTGAAAGTGAGCAGTAACTGGTTGTGTGGCTTTACGCAGGCATCTCCCTGTTTGTGATGAACATTGGACTTAGTTAAAGCGGTTACTATTGTTTCAGAAGCACTGTGTTCCATAGGGTTTTCAGGGGCACATGTGTTAGATGGAGGTCTGTCTACTGAGCCACCCTGGGTAGATTCCAGCCATCACCTTCCTTTCCATCCAGGACTCCTTTCTGTCTACTCGGAAGTCCGAGCCCTCAGCCTATGTGTAAAGGCCAAGTAGTGATCCGTGTGGGGGCGATCAGAGCCGCTGTGGTCCCAGTTTCCGTGGGTTTCCTCCTCTAGTCCCCACTGTGACGCTCTGAAGTGGGCCGTAGGGGATGTGGTTCCCACTTGACTGATGAGGACAGGACCCCCAATGCATGGCTGAGCCAGTGGCGAACCGAGTGTTCCCATGGCACCCGGTGCAGGGAGCACCTTTAGTGAGAGCTCACCACCATCTGAAACGGTGCAGTCCAGGAGTTGAGAATTGAAAGGACCTGCTGTGGACAAGCAGTGTGGGCTGGTTTGGTTTTTGTTTGTTGCAATGGGGTGGGATAACATGCCCCACAGGATTCTGTGACCACATCCTAACATTTCAACTCCACTGGCAGAGTTGGGGTACAGGAACGGGTTTGAGTGGGCGGTATCTGGGCCTGTCTTTACAGTGGTGTAAGTTTGATGATGACGTGGTGTCACGGTGCACAAAGGAAGAGGCCATCGAACACAACTATGGAGGGCACGATGATGACCTGTCTGTGCGGCACTGCACCAACGCCTACATGTTAGTTTATATCAGGGAATCCAAGCTGAGTGAGTACTGCCATGGCCCCTGCCCACGTTCACGGGACCCTCGCCAGCACGCCGCCGCAGCCCACTCCCTGTGCTCAGTCGCCTGGTGTAGCGACGGTGATGAGAGTTAGGACCTTGTAAGGACAGGCGTTCTGGGGGCACCGTGCTTGAGTGCTCAGCTGCTGCCAGGTGGTCAGCAGTTGGAACCCACCCACCGGCAGTCCCCTGGGGCTGTTGTCGTCCTTCCTTGGGGGTGGCTGCGAGCTGGCCGCGGGCAGAGAGGCGAGGGCGCCACGTTTGTGTGTGCAGGTGAGGTTCTCCAGGCTGTGACCGACCACGACATCCCTCAGCAGCTTGTGGAGCGGCTGCAGGAGGAGAAGAGAGTGGAGGCGCAGAAGCGGAAGGAGCGTCAGGAAGCCCACCTCTACATGCAAGTGCAGGTGAGCCACTCGCGCGGGACCTTTGGGGTCACAAGTGACTCCCTAGTCCTATCTGCTCAGGGATGAGTGAAGGGCCTGGGGCTGAAGTGCTGTCCTTGTTCAGAAGTTGCTTGGAAACAAAAGTCTGTGATGTTAGCATTTCACTGTTTAAACCCTGTGGGGACCTGCGGGGCCTCGTCGTCTTTTTCGTGGCAATGGCCAGCTCTGCTCTCTGATCACTTGCTGCTTTGCAGATTGTCGCTGAGGACCAGTTTTGTGGCCACCAAGGAAATGATATGTACGATGAGGAGAAAGTGAAGTACACGGTGTTCAAAGTGTTGAAGAACTCCTCGCTTGCTGAGTTTGTCCAGAACCTCTCCCAGACCATGGTGAGTCCTGGCCATGTTGCCAGTCCCCCTTCTTCCAGCTAGCACTCCAGTTCCACCTTCAGTCTTCAGTGCTGGAAAGACTAACTAGAATCCTGAAGTGCCTTTTGGCATGCAGACACTGTGTCCTGGCCCTGCCCCCAGAACACGATGATGACCAGATTCCATTTCCTGTCTTGAGTTAAAGAAAGGCTTTGCAGTACACAGACTGCAGAAACCGGCTTCTGTCTTCCTGACCTAATTGTCCAGTAATACCTGCAAAGAAGGAAGTGGAATATGAATATTCATCATCTCCTCTACCCTTTTTCTGAGGGGGTGCAGCAGTGCGGGGGTTCGGGTAGCATGCGCACAGGCCCTGAGTTGTGATCTTGAAGGGATGGGTCACTGTTGTCCACATCCAAAGAGCAAGGTGTAACGATCGTTTCCATCTTATTACCACAGCGTCATTCATTGGTATGGTATTAAAATGCAGGTTGTGCTTGTTTTCTTGACTGATCATTTATTCTCTCATTAGGGATTTCCACAAGATCAGATTCGGTTATGGCCCATGCAAGCCCGGAGTAATGGGACAAAACGACCAGCAATGTTAGATAACGAAGCAGACGGTAATAAAACAGTAAGTATGGCGGACAGTGGCTTCTCTGTCCCTCCGTAGTGGACCCAGCGTGCTTCCCTGGGGATTGGTTAGAGACCTGGATGTTTCTCGATTGTAATTACTTGCCCCATTGCCAAGGCCACTACAGTCTTCTGAAAGTTGGTGTCTGTTTGAAAATAGATGATTGAACTCAGTGATAATGAGAACCCTTGGACCATATTCCTGGAGACAGTGGACCCCGAGCTGGCTGCTAGTGGGACGACGTTGCCCAAGTTTGATAAAGATCGTAAGTGCCCGTGGAAGCAGCGCCCGACTGCCTTTGAGCAGGAGAGTTGGCTCCCAAGCCTGACAGTGTTGAGCCATCCTAGAAGTGCCCAGCTGGCACCAGTGCTAAGGCTTGGTTAAGTCTGGGCTGGTGCGATCTCCAGGAGGGGCAGGGAGGCGGCGGCAGCGTGGAGACGTCATGGCATATCCTTGGTCTCTGTCACTTGTGTTGCTTATCACTCGAGTCTCCTGTATGGTCGACAGATCTTGTACAGCAGGAGTAAATACTTAGGCTTTGTGGACCATCCTGTTCCTGCCAGCTTTGTGTATGACACAACCAAGCCCTGCTTCAAGCTGTCCCTTCTCTGCCCCAGACACTCTACCATGAAATTGACCTTGGTCCCCAGTATCCCTGAGCCAGCTCATCGTTGGTGCCGGTGTTGAGACCACCACCCTCTTGACTGCTCTAATGGCATTACTTCCCGTGGGTGGGATGTTGGGGACCCATCTCTGCGGCCCTGGGAGAAAGCTCACCTCACCTGTCAGGTGCTGGAACTAGCGTATCAGTGTCACAGAGCTGCCAGGTGTGCTGTGTTTGCTGTTGACACTGTGATGAGTGTGGGGACCCTAACAGCCTGTTCATTAACCTCGCAGATGATGTGATGTTATTTTTGAAGATGTATGATCCCAAAACGCGAAGCTTGAATTACTGTGGCCATATCTACACACCAATATCCTGCAAAATACGTACGTCTTACGGCCTCCGCCTTCTCGGTCGATCTTAATCAAGCCATCGTAGACGACAGCCATGAATCTTTTCTCCCCTTTCTTTCCTTGTTTCCAGGTGACTTGCTCCCAGTCATGTGCGACAGAGCAGGATTTATCCAAGATACTAGTCTTATCCTCTATGAGGTTTGCACGGCTTCTCTTTCCGTAATCATTGAGTCTCTAGCAGGGGTGGGGAAATACCACTGGTGAGCTAGCCCTGAGTTTGCTCTTGGGGACTCAAGTGATCTTGAGGACCACCTGTTGAGATTTTTCCGTTCGCATTGAAGGTGGGTCGAGTTGGGTGTAGAGAAAACACAGGGTGTGTTCAAGGAAACCATGTTATCTACTCTGTGGGCATATTCAACGTTCGCCACTCCTTGCATTCTAAGTACTTGCTGTGTTTTCTTGCAGGAAGTTAAACCGAACTTAACAGAGAGAATCCAGGACTATGACGTGTCCCTTGATAAAGCTCTTGATGAACTCATGGATGGTGACATTATAGTGTTTCAGAAGTAGGTTTTTCCGTGCTTATGAACACTGTCCTTTGTTTTGTTTAATGAGTCCTTAAACCAGGAAACAGAATTGTATCGAGAACCCTGAACTGTATCTTGTTTGGCTGCCCAGCAGTGATCAGTCTCTCGGTTTTCTAATTGGCGGTGATGACCATTTGTCCTTTGAAGCTCTTCTCTCGTGCCTTATTTATTTTTATAAAAATCATAATGGATGTGGTCTCCATTAGGGGGCTGGGCAAGGAATATCCTCATGGAGTAGCAGAATCGTTTTTCTTCCTGTAAATTGCCTGCAATCCCTTGAAATGTGCCTACTTTGGCTGCTAACCGAAAGGTCAGCGGTTCACACACACCTACCGCTCCCTGGGAGGAGAAAGCTGGGGAGCCATGCAGCCTCGGGAATCCTGTGTCCCAGAGTCGTCGTGAGTCGGATCCGACTAAAGCGATGTCTTCCGTTGTGATTTTGTCAGTGTAGCTGCTGCTGCCGTGTTAGGGTGCTGGGGAATCACTGATGACACAATGGGACCAGGGGACAGGAGAGCAGTTCCGTGGGGCTTTCTGGGCTGTAGTCCTTCTGCCCTGGCCGCACAGTGGTGAGGCAAGCGTCATTGGAACCTTCCAGTTCTTCCAGCATGGCTGTGGCTCTCTGCTCCCCCAGAGATTCGCAGCCTTGAAAACCCTCTGGGTCTTTAGGGCGTTTGAATCAACTCAGCGGCAGTGGGTTTGGACGTGAAACAAGCAGGTCTGAAAGTGACATGCTTTGCACTTGGCAGACAGGGTTCTGAGGTCACAGGTCAAGAGCAGTGGTCAGCCAGATGGTAGATCCTTCAGACTTAGACCAAAGCCGAAGTGAGCTGACCCCCTGGGCGAGAGAGAGCACGTGCATGAGCATTACGGTACCTCAGACCCCCTGCAGGCAAGGCCCTGCCCTGAGACTGCAGAAATGTCAAGGGTTCGAAGCCACCAGCTGCTCCGCAGGAGAAAGATGAGGCCCTTGGGGGAACCCCAAGAGCGATACCATTCTGTTCTTCCTCCTGTAGGATTGGCAGTGGGGGAGGGGGAGCTCGCTGGACACAGGTGGACGTGGTGTCCACACTGAGCCCCACTCAGCCCACCACCTGTCTCATTTCCAGGGATGACCCTGAGAACGACAACAGTGAGCTGCCGACCGCGAAGGAGTATTTCCGAGATCTCTACCATCGCGTCGACGTCATTTTCTGTGATAAAACAATCCCCAACGACCCTGGCTTCGTCGTCACGTTATCCAATAGAATGAATTATTTTCAGGTATTGGAAAGCTTCAGGTCCCACCCCAAGAGGCCCCCTCTCTTTTTTAAACGCTTTTGGGAGAAGCCGTCTCATCTGCCTGTCAAGTCTGGTCCAGAAGACAGTGGTTCCGTTCCCACCATTTGGGGCAGGTGGGAGGCACTCTCACTTGCAGGGGGCCCGCCATGTTTGTGTTTGCGTGCTAACAGAAGGCATTCTCAGATGACCCCCTTCAGCCCTCTCAGAATCTGGTCGGTGAGAGCCTGGTTTTTAATAGCACCGCTGCTTTATCATAACGTCTTCAAAAGTATTGTCTCTCCTAACTATCGTTAAAACATCGTCCAAACATAAAACATCTGTGGACCTAGGATTAAACTGAATACCCTGTAAAAGTCTCCTCCATCAACCATGGGCTCCCAGGGGGTCTTAGAAGGAGTTTGGTTTAGTCCTTTCCTTAAGGAATGTTTCAAGACATTTTAACTTAACACTGCTCATAACCTGCATCTTTAGTGACGGAACCAAGTTCCTAGGGATCCCTCAGCTCGTTGGCGGATTGCAGTTCTTTGCAGAACATGTGAACCTTCCTTTTTGTCTTGGGGTTCTTGTCCTCCTCCCAGGTGGCGAAGACGGTTGCACAGAGGCTGAACACAGACCCAATGTTGCTCCAGTTTTTCAAGTCTCAAGGGTAAGCAGTGTCCGGACATGTCGTCTGACCACTCTGCAGACTTGCTGCCATGGCCCTTCCGTCGCAGCATCCTGGGCCTGATTCCGGTCTGTAGCCACTCAGCTGCCATTCCTTGCTTAGTTTCTGATGTAGACTTATCATCATCCTGACCCCGCACACACTCCAAAACAGGGCTGGGAAACCTTTTTTCTGCTAAAATTTATGACATCGTTCATGGGCCTTAACAATTACCAACTTAAAAATTATCCTGCTGTATTTAATCAAACATGTAATTAATTGACTCCTGGGAAACCCTCTACAGGGTCACTACGAGTCGGAAACGACTCGAAACCATTAAACGACAGCAGCAACGTGGAAGCTAGAACTGTGGGTGCCTGACATACAGGGCCTGCAGACCAGCCCTTCCCCACCCCTGGTCTAAACCCAGACTTGCCATAGCTACCTTTCCCACCATGTCGGCCCCACCCCAGGCCAGAGGAGCGTGACCACGGTGGGGCACCCAAGGAACCTGGTACCTTAGTGAAATTCCACACCAGGCCCCCCAACGTTGGTTCACGCACCGGGAGGTGTGAGGCAGATGATCAGGCTGTTTGATCACACGCTGCTTTCTTGTGTAGTTATAGGGATGGTCCAGGGAACCCTCTTAGACATAATTATGAAGGGACTTTAAGAGATCTTCTACAATTCTTCAAGCCTCGACAGCCTAAGAAACTTTACTATCAGCAGGTACGAGTCCAAATTCATGTCACAGTGGGGACCACAGCCCTGGCGTGGGTGGTTTGGGGAAGCGGCTCTAAACTGACTCTTTCATCTCAACAGCTGAAAATGAAAATCACAGACTTTGAAAACCGGCGAAGTTTTAAGTGTATTTGGTTAAACAGCCAATTTAGGGAAGAGGTAGGTCTCTTTGAATAGCTTGACTTGTTCTTTGCATTAGCGCCTGAGTGTTGTCCCTGCCTCGCCCCAGACCCAGGAATCCAAAACAGTAAGCGCAGAGCACTGCAGGGGCACGTGCATGGTCGCCCCAAAGTCTAAAGACTGAATTTCATGGGTCCGAGCGGTCTTACGGGGGTGACTCAACATACCTAACTGACTGGGGGTTCCTGACGTGGGGTTGTTCTTAACTTGACTCAGACTGTGTGATCCTCAAACACGAACCGCTGAAGGAGCCTGGTAGATGCACTCAATATGGACTTCCTGCATCTGCTTCCAGAGTTAGTCTCATGCTTACCAGTGACAGAAGACGTGCCCAGACATACTGTTTACTTTTTATTTTCCTGTCAATGTTGTTATTGGGTCCCATCCAGTTGGTTCCACCCCATAAGGGACCTTTTGTACAGTAGAGCGAGACACCGCCCGGTCCTGCACTGTCTTTGCCATTACTGCTGGCATAGTGGCAGTCCATCTTGTTGGGGCCTATAAGCCCTTCCTGCCTTTCACGGTCGTGGGTTTTGGGCCAGAAAACCTCTGGCTCTGCTCGTCATGCGATGGTTCCAGGTTGTCTGTAGCCTGGTGCATCCTGAGTCTAGCCCCTCCCTCACATTACCCGTTAGTGTGGGGGTGAAATTGGAGACATATTGCTAACACACTGCCCCACGTACAGTCGAGCTGACCCGGCAGAGCATGTTGTCCTTTTCTCACTGCTGAGGTGACCTTTCAGGGGGACCATCCCTGAAAAGCCGTCTGTCTGTAAATACAAGCTTTGTGCCTCAAGGTCAGCAGTTCAAACCCACCAGCCACTCCTTGGAATCCTTACACAGGGTCGCTATCAGTCGGAACCGACTCAATGGCACTTAACACCACCTCAAATGTGAGAGTCCTGAAAGTCCTTTCCCCTCAGTCCTGCGTCGTCTGTCGTTTGGTACCTGTTGTCCCACCACGCACGACATCACAGTTCAGAGCCTCACATCAATCAGTCTCTGCTGGTCCAGAACAAAAGAGAAAAACGGAAACCAGAGACTCAGAAGAAAACTACTTTACAGACTTGTCTATCTGACTCGTCTACCCTGAGACCAGAAAACTGCATGGCACCTAGCTACCACTGCGGACCACCGTTCTATTCGGGACCTTGAGAGAGGGACAGGAAAATGTGCATAGAACCTCAGCAACGGAAAAAGTTCAGACTTAGGGATTCCTTGAGACTTGAAGACTCCTAGAGACTTGCCCTGAGATAACTTTTTTTTTTAAAACATTGAAAGAAAAAAAAGATCTAAAATCACAGCTTCTGGAAGAACCACTGGTTTTGCCTTGTCTTGTACCTCTCCTCCAACCTGACTTTGGCCTCACGGCAGGCATTGCATTTAAGAGCATCCTTGTTGACAACAGTTTTGTCCAAGGTGATACCCACAGAGTACCCCGTGGGCATGAGGTGATTATAGTTATAAACGTTCACAAAAGACTTGATTGGTCTTCGACCTCTTCTCAGTTTTCTCCTTGCCCGTGCAGCTGGCATGTTGCAGGGATAGCAGTTAATTCCAGCCACCAGAGCTTGGCTGTAGGGGCGATCGATCTGAGGTGCCGTCATCAACGTTCTTGACGACAGCTTTGTGTTTGGAGTAGCATCCGCCCAGCACCAGCATCACCCCACCACCACCACCACACCACACACACACCCCTTTCTGCCCTGAGATACTTGTAAACCTTAAACCAAAATTATTCTTCAAGGTCACCTTTTTGCTAAATGACAGACTGTCAGTATTGAGGCTTCTTTTGAAAAAAACCATCTGTAGGAGGAGACCTAGAGTGTTTTAAATGGAACAACCAGAATGGAATGAATGAGAATGCTGATGTGTGGTGCAAAATGCAGCCAGTGTCATGGAATCATTTGTGTAGGAATTGTTGCCTGGGAGCCCATTTGCTCGGTCCCCTTTCACTGTAAACACAGCATAATGCATTTTCTGAAGAAAAGTTGAGGGCACATGTCAGTGAGAGGCGGGTTGTTGTGTGGGGTGTTAGTGATCTTTTCTGTTTGCTGTAAAGTGCTGACATCGTTCTTCCATCATTCAGGAAATAACACTATATCCAGACAAGCACGGGTGTGTCCGGGACCTGTTAGAAGAATGTAAAAAGGCTGTGGAGCTGGGGGAGAAGGCTTCAGGGAAACTTAGGCAAGTATTTCCTTAAGGACATGGCCCCAACATGGCAGTGCAATAGTCCCTCGGGCAGGGTTCTTATACTCTCCCTTTAGGGTTGGTCTTTTACAGAAGTTTAGAAATATTTCAAAATTCTCAGCCATTTTTCGTTCCTCCATCCTCCTGTCTGCTGGCATGAATTTGCTGTAATCAGGAGGCAGCATCGGGGGGGGGGGGGGGGGGGGGGGGGGGGGGGGGGGGGGGGGGGGGGGGGGGGGGGGGGGGGGGGGGGGGGGGGGGGGGGGGGGGGGCAGGTATGGTCCCCAGTGATGGCTGGACAGAAAGCACACGCGGGGGGGCCCCTTCTGAGCTGTGTAGCAGTGTCTCCCAGACCTCGACACCAGCCTGGATCTCCAAGATCCTGGATCCCCCCTGTGTTTACTTGGTAAAATTAACCCCAAAGCAGACCTTCTGTCTCTCACCTAAAACGCAAGTAAGCCGCGAGGCAGGCCCGGCCTCGTTTGAATTCACGTGGGAAAGCCCACACAAGCCTTGGCAGCTCTGCTGCAACTGTGTGTGGCGTTTGCTATGTCCAGCCTGGCTCGGACTCAGGGTCCCTCTTGGGTTCCCTCTGGGAGCTGGCTGGTTTTCTCCATAGCCTGTCTTGCTGCGTCCTTCTTTGAGAAGGAATGGTGCAGGCAAATCTTGGCTGTCTGGTAGCCGTATGTCCTGGAAGATGCTTGGTTTGCATGGAGCCAGCAGGGTCTCCCACCTGCTCCTCTGGCAGCTCCATGAAACTCACATGACTGACTTTTCCCTCTGCATTCTGTTCAGGCTGCTAGAAATCGTAAGCTACAAAATCATCGGTGTGCACCAAGAAGACGAGCTATTAGAATGTTTATCCCCTGCAACAAGTCGGACGTTTCGAATAGAGGTAACGGCTCTGTGTGGAGCGAATCCCCCAGGGGTGACTCTTTCCTGCTAAGGATTGGGTTTGAACACAGGCCACCAAGCAGGCAGGACCTGTGCGGCCCTGTGGGACCCAGCGCTGCTGCTGTTCCCACAGCACTAGGTGACCCATCGGACACTGAGCAACCCGTTTCCTCCCCATAAGGAGCTCTGGTGGCACAGTGAATTAAACGTTGGTCTGCTGACTGTAAGGTTGGCGGTTCAAACTCACCACCAGCCACTCTGGAGAAAGACGGGGTTTTCTGCCCCCCTAGACTTAAACTCTGGTAGCGTAGTGGTTACGAATCAGGCTGCGAACCTTAAGGTCAGCGGTTCAAAACTACCAGCCGCTCCGCGGGAGAAAGATGAGGCTTTCTACTCCCGTAAGGATTTACACCCTCGGAAACCCTGTACAGGGTCGCTATGGGTCGGAACCGACTCAACAGCACTTAACAACAACAACAACAACAGACTTAAACAGCCTGGGAAGCCTGTGGGGGCTGTTCTGCTCTGTCCTGTAGGGGGCACAGTAGTCGGCATCGACTCATTGGCAGTGGGCTGGGTCTCTTAACAAACAGCTGTCTTCGGGCTCTGGGCGCCCTTTGTCCCAGCTGGACTTGAGCCAGCCTTTGGGCAGGAGCTGCAGACCCCTGAAGTGGCCCCTCAGCTTGCCGAGCCACCCTTTCCAAACCGACCGCACTTTGCATCGCTGTGGGTTCCCAACCTGTCTCCACAGGAAATACCTTTGGACCAGGTAGACATAGACAAGGAGAACGAGATGCTGATCACGGTGGCGCATTTCCACAAAGAGGTGTTCGGAACGTTTGGAATTCCCTTTTTGCTGAGGATACACCAGGTTAGGATTCCTAACCTTTCGGCAGCAGCTCCCAGTGCCCCAGGCTATCATTGGGTGACTGCCCCGGGGCTGAGCGGGGACGCAGTGGTGTCCCTGTGGGACGGGAGGGCGGCGCGAGTCAAAGGCTCTCTGCATGAGCCGGGTGAGCACAAGTGTCCTGCTGTTGGTCCATAGGGTGAGCATTTCCGCGAGGTCATGAAACGGATCCAGAGCCTGCTGGACATCCAGGAGAAGGAATTTGAAAAGGTGCGCGTCTCCGGTGCTCCTGGGAGCTGCCGGGACCTGGGGGCCCGACTTGGTGAGGGGCGCGGAGGCTTCTCGTGTGCACAGTGAGTGAAGGAGTTCTGCTTTTTGGTTGTTTTTTTAGTTTAAATTTGCAATTGTAATGATGGGCCGACACCAGTACATAAACGAAGATGAGTATGAAGTAAGCTTGAAGGACTTTGAGCCTCAGCCCGGTAAGAGCCCTCACCCCGGGTGACGTCGATGTGGTTGGGAGGTGACTGGGCAGCCGCAGCTCGCCATCTCTGAAGGATGAAAACATTCCCCACTGAGTCGAGTTGGGTCCAGCTCCTAGTGAAGCTGCCCCGCCCCACAGGGTGTCCCAGATAGTAAGTCTGTATGGGAGCAGACTGCCTCATCTCTCTCCCATGGTGTGGCTCGTGGATTCCAACTTCCAACCTTTTGGTTAGTAGCCCAGCACTCAACCCACTGTGCCACCAGTGCTCCTAAAGCGCTTGGCGCTCGCTGCGACCCTACTGGCAATCCTTCTGGGGGGCAGATTGCTGCTCCCTGAGAGTGGCTGGTGGGCTCAGGCCGCTGTCCTCTCTGTTAGCAGCTGAACACTCCAGCACAGAGCCGCCAGGGCTGCCTCCACAGCCATTCAGCATGGACTCACCGGGGACTTAGAAAGGAAAACTCGTGTGTGACCCCCAGCGCTAAGCTCAGGTGTGACTGCCCAGGGGGCTGGTCCCATCTCAGTCATTCTTCTCTCTCCCCCAGGTAACATGTCTCACCCTAGGCCTTGGCTCGGGCTTGACCACTTCAACAAAGCCCCCAAGAGGAGTCGCTACACGTACCTTGAAAAGGCCATTAAAATCCATAACTGACCTTCTGACCCAGTGTGTTCAAGGCCAGGGACCGGGCGTGGGGGTGCGCCCCTTTTTAACATCCTTAGGACTTTGGTTACACGTGCACTCTACCCGAAGTCTTCAGCAAGAGGATTTGCTGCTGATGTTAATTTTATTTTGTTGAGGCTGTTCAGTTTGGCTTCTCTGTATCTATTGACTGCCCTTTTTGAGCAAAATGAAGGTGTTTTTATAAAGCTCGGATGCCAATGAGAGTTATTTTATGGGCACCACAAAGCAAGGCAGCCATCAGCAAAGTGGGAGGAGACGAGGCTGGCAGGACGCAGGCCACCGGCCAGAGATCTTTCTAGTCTGTTTCTAGTTGGCAGAAGCTGGCTGGCTGCCTTCCTGGGGGTCCCATCCACCAACTCGACAGCTAGGAAGTGTCATGGTAGGCCTGTCTGACTTCCTTCCTTCAGTTCTACTTCCAGCGACCTTTTGTGCATCTGTAAAGACAAACCAGAAACCACAGCCTAATAAATAGCCATCTCTTCTTCCTCACTGTGTGCATTGTTGGCCCTTCCTCGGGGTTCATCTCCTCCAGCTGCCGGGGGGCCCCGTAGTCACCTCGTTTCGTCTCAGTCCGCCCCTGTGCCGTACAGTTGGACACACTGAATCCCGGCCTGGCCGACACACAGGAGGGGTCTTGTCATGCCGTTGAGAACCTTGTTTCGCACAGTTCAGGTGTGCTGCCCACGCCACCTGGGAGCAAGGGTTGTCAGTCAAATGTCAGTAAAACGGAACAGACCTTTTAGCCAAAAGGGTATGCGCACTAGTAAGCTGTTGACTTTGTACACACACACAAATTTTTTTTCAAAAGTTGAAATAAAAAAGAGCGGGATGAATGAAATTGTATATTTAATGACTGACCGTGTAAAGCTGACCACTTGGAGGAGGTGGCTTCCTTCTGCTGGCCGAGTCCGCGAGTGACTTGGCCGCTGTCGTTAACCCACTGTGTTGTTCCGTTGCTGTCCTGCCTCGTTTCCTTTTCATTTGGGAGCTAATGCCAGCCGCGTGTCTAGTTTTGAGTGCAGTAAAATAGAATCCGCAAATCACACTGGGTTTTGGTTTTTTGTTTTGTTTTGTTTTTTCATCCCGCCCCTGTCCTTTTCCGGTTTTTTTTTTGTTTTGTTTTGGGTTTTGGTTTTGGTCCCTTTCTGTAGCTGCGGTGTACACCAACTCTTCCTGTATATTACCTTTTTGCTGGAACATGTTGTATGTTGAATAAAATTTTCTATAAAAAATGATAATCCAATGAGTGACCTGGACGTTGAGGGAGATTCTACTCTTCCCAGAAACCGGCCCGGGGCCCCTTTTCGATTCTTACAAGGCTTGACTAAAATGTATCCCCACACACATTCTCAATATCACTAAAGTGCCAACCCAGGTTCCCGTCATGCTGGCTTCCTGTTTCCGGGAAGTTGAGGGGAGGGGATGAGATGGTGTTTACAGGTAAAGGAGAGAGACAACCCAGAGTAGATGGATCCCCCAGTATGGGCACCTCGGGGGGCTCCTACCCTGACACTCAGTCTCTAATCCAGTTGTCCACCGTGTCCTGAGTGTGCCTTCCAACCAGGGCCAAGACACCCATCAGAGGGGTCTCCTTCCTCAAGGGAGCTGCACCGCTTCCCCTCAAGACTTCCTCCAGCAAAGAGGTCATTGTGGGCAGGCCAGCAAGGCTCATTCACCATGTGTTTGTCTTTGAAGGACCCTCAAGGTGTTGGTTTGGGGAGCTTGGTATTTAACCCCCTTAACCTTTGGCCAGCCTCATGTGGCACTGTAGGATCAGCACTGGACTGCGAACCATAAGGTCAGCAGTTCAAAACCACCAACTGTTCCTCGGAAACCCTACACAGCGTCGCTGTGAGTCAGAACCGACTCATGGCACTCAACAACAATCTTTGGCCAACGGTTGACTAGTGTCACGTGCAGCTAGTGTTACAGTTTCCTGCTTGTCACATCTGCATCCTGCGCTGAGTTCACATTTCCTTCGTTCACCATCACCACTTCGTCCGATGAACAGATTCTGAGGAGACGTTAAGAATTTTCATTTAAAAGGAGGAAGACAGACTTTCAAGGACAGACTGGACTCCTGCAGATGTGATACTGTTGGGTCAGTTCCCAGTCGTAGCACCCCTGTATAGGGTTTCCAAGGAGCAGCTGGTGGATTTGAACTGCCGACCTTGTGGTTCATAGTCCAGTGTTGATACTACAGTGCCACACCAGGAAGTCTGCAGATGTGATGTCCTCAATTATGTGCTGTGCTGCCAACCATGGGCTGCTGTGACCGTAGTAACTGACGTGGCCTCGTATAGTGACCATCCAGTTTCATATGTGACTTGTCCCTTGTCAGGGCCTCACTCTAAGAGCTTCCCACCACCATCTTGGAGCTACCACCCCACCCCCAGTCACCTTTGCCTGCAGTTCTATTTCATAAACATGCAACCATGAGTAGGAACCCACTCAGATGGCACTTAACAGCAAAAACTGTTAAGAAAATGGTGTCCAGCTCCATCACACACTGAGGAGTGCAGCTTTGGTGTATAGTGATACGCTAAGGGACGTGGGGTGACCCTAGCCCAGGAGCTCTGACTGAGGGGGAAGGAGCCTTACCCAGGACTTCACTGGGTTGGAGATTTCTGAGGGGTCCTTGAGTAGTTCACTGAAACTGCAAGTTTGGGTTCATTAGGGTAGAACTGGGTCACTTGGAAAACTTGAAAGAAAGCCACCAACTACTCTAAGGGAGAAAGATGTGGCTGTCTGCTCCCTTAAAGGTTTAACGCCTTGGAATCCCACTGGGCAGTTGTACTCTGTCCTTTTAGGGGCACTATGAGTCGGAAATTAACTCAGTGACACTCAGTTTACTCTGCCCATTTTGGAGACTCAACAGGCTTCCCAAGTGAAGATTTGTGGAGTTGGCAACCTACTAAGAAGGTCGGTGGGGAAGAAGTTTCATTAAATGATCAGGAAGCCAGGCCCTCCTCCTTCACACGAGATGTTTACTAAGCCGCCGTCCAACATCACCTCATAGCCCCGAGCTTTTCGGGCAGGTAACTGACATTTTCTGTCAGTATGCAGTTCTGTGGTAAATGAGCAACAAAACGTTGGCCATTTCAGCCACCTCCATGTGTGCCTTCCCACGAGATTCATTTTCCTTGCATGCCTGAGTCGAGTCTTGCCATTCTGTGTCATAGGCGTGGCGCAGTTGACGTTGGCCAAGTACCAGAGTGAAGGCATTTCTAACTTCTCATCAATTAATGTCCACCATATTGGAGAGTGCAATACTGACTAGATTTTCTTCACTTTTAAGTTGTTAAGAGTTTGCCCTAGGAGCTGCAATCATGAATTTTAGAATCGATGTTAACTAAATCGGACTCGATGGGAAGCAGACCTGGACAGTTTTTGCAGGTAGATGGCTGTGTGGCTCCCCTTGCTCCCCCTGCTCATGGGAGGCCATTAGTTGGGACCAAGGAAGTTCCAAGGGGGCTTCAGTGGCTGGGGGCCCCACAGGAGTCCAAGAACCTCCCATAAAGGGTCATGTGGTAAAGCAAAGCCAAGTTAGGTGGCAGGCATATGAGTGCTCCCAATAAGATTCCTAATTTGTTGTATGTCGGAAATTTTTCATAATGAAAAGTTGGGGACAGGGGGACCACCTGTGGATGCTCCTGCCCTGTTAGGGACTTTAGCCCTTTTGTACTCATTTTGCACAGGTGGCTTAGCAGAGGCCCCTGGGGGGGAGGGGGGTATATATGGGTGCACATTCAACTTCCACCTGCCCCCTGCTGACAGGGCCACCATCATCCTCCCTCACATCCTGGCTGGGAGACCCTCATCAAGCACCAAGCCTTACTGCTTCCTGCTTTCCTCTGCCCCCATGCCCCAGGCACAGCTGGCTGAGAGGAGTGTGAGTCCCCTGGGGTGGCAAGGAGAACCACTGAGGATCCAGCCCCATGTCCGTCCACGGAGGCCCCTGCCAGCAGGCCTGTTCTTCTCTGACCACACCGTGGGGTACTTACCCCTCTCCAGGCATCATGCATGGGTCTGGCTGAGTGCTGAGCTGGCCTTGGAGCCCAGGCTCAGTGGGGACAGCCAAGGGGACAGGACTAGTGTAGCCAGCGCTCCTGACTCCATAAATAGACGCTAAAATCTGGGCCGGCAATGTCGGTTCTACCAAGTTTTAGAGATGGGCAGCAGACACCTAATGCCGGGTAGTTTTAATCAAAGGGCCTGGCAGTAGCCCCAAAAGACCATGTGGAGCGCAGACCCAAGACCATGGGCACCCGTGGACTGAAGGGACCCATGGTTAGCACTCCAGGCTTTTGGTGGGAGATACAGGTGACAGGACTAGAATAACTAGGAGTCTGGGAACACCGGGGAGTCAAGTTGAGACCAGGCTAGAACTGTGCCCCACACTTCAGCGCCGCTTTGGAGCCCCAGCTTCGTCCCAGCTCAGGCCTGGGGAAGCCCCTTCTGTCCCTTGTGATTCAGACACACACCCAGCCTCTAACTCTTGGTGTGGCTGACCTGAGCTCTGTCCTCCTGTGTTGACAGCCTCTGACCCTGATTTATCACCTCCCTCACCAGGGCTCCTGGGGACAGAGGGCCTGATATTTGGAGCTTCACTCTAACTAAAAACCCAGCTCAGATGGTCCCCTGCTTTGGACGTGGACTCGAGGCTACTGGGCCTGCACCTCTGGCCAGCGAAAGGAAAGGCCAACGGTTCAAATCCACCAGCCACTCCGCTGGAGAAAGGTGAGGCTTCAGTTAAGTCTCCTGCCTCAGAAACCCTCTGGAAGAGTTTGGCTCTGCCCTGGAGGCCCTGAGTCAGCATGGACTCCATGTCAGCAGACCCAAGGTTCCAGGTGCCCTTTTCTAACTGCTGAACCTCTGACCCTCGGGGTCCTCCTCTGTTGGTGGACAAGTCTGTGAGCACCAGAGCGAGACCACAGCAGTAGACACAGTGCAGCCCCATGCCTGTCTCTTCACGCACCGCCATTTGTCTTTGTCTTCCTCCCCCACGGGTGCCAATTCTCGTCCCCCCTTCCCTCTGTATGAGACGCATTCTGATTGAAGTGTGTGGATGGTATTTTGCAAAAGAAAAAAATATTCCCTAATCGTGATACAGGGTTTTCCTCTTCCCACCCTCCTTCCTGACCCCCATTCCCCTGCAGACCCTATTTTACCCAAGGGAGGGGATCTCCTCCATGAGCAGATTCAAGGCCAGTTAGTGTCTAAAAGCATTTGCATATCCCAACATTGGCAGCCTGTGCATACAGCAGGCAGCTGCAGGCAGTCCTGGGCCGGCTGTCCACAGGTCATCCTGGACCAGCTGTCCTGTGCTGTGAAGCAGCTCCCAAAGGAGGACAGGTCTAGGAGGAGTTGCCCCCTCCCCATCATCTCCCCTCCCCCTTCCATTCAGGGTGAAAAAGAAGCGTCCGGGCTGTAGGCAGGAATCCCCCCTCCCCCCCCAACACACACACACGTGCAGGTGTGAGATGACTTAGCAGCACCTAATGGAGTCCTGGTGTGGCGCTGTGGGTTAATGCGCCAGATTGCAAAGCCGTTTGAACTTCAAGGTTGGTGGTTCAAGCTCACCAGCTGCTCCTTGGAAACCCTATACAGGGTTGCTATGGGTTGGAACCGATTCGACGGCAGTTCACAACAACAAAGTGGTACTGTAGGAAAAGCACTGGACTGCTAACTGCAAGGCGGCGGTTCAAACCCACCAACCACTCTCTGAGGGAAAGATGAGGTTGTCTGCTCTCATAAAGGTTTATAGCCTTGGAAACTCTATACAAGGTCTCTCTGAATCAGCATCCACCAATGGCAGTAGGGTTGGTTTGGATTGGACAGCAGTGACCTCAGGTGACCGTGTTTAAGAGTGTGGGCCTGACCCAAGTGTTTGATTCCTTCTCCAGCACAGTTGTATTTCATTGAGGGGCAGGTGAAACTTGGGGGGTGGGGCTGGGGAGAGGCTGCTGCCTTGTCCAAGTGAGCTGGGAGAATGGATGTGAATGAATGAAGGAGACACGGAGACAGAAGCAGAGAGACATCAAGTAATTGTGGGCCAAAGGTCAACAATGACTAACGCAGAGATGAGAAGATAAAGGGGCAGGGAAACTAGACCACTGGAAACGGAACAACCAGAATAGAACTGAGGAGAATATTGACACACTGGAAAATGTGAACACTTTATGTGGAAAGTGCCCAATAGGTACCTAATTTGTTGTGCAAACTTTCACCAAAAACCGTATTAATTATTATTTTAAAAATTAAAGAATTGTGGGATACCTTCAACGAGACGGGTGGACAGTGGCCGCAACAGTGGGCAGCAGTTGTGAAAATGACGCAGGACAGGGCAGTGTTCCGCTCTGTTGTACATGGGGTTACTCTATAACCCTACAGCATCTAACAACATGATCAGGACCCAAGGTGGGGCTGAGCCCAGGTGTGGTGGGCTGGGGAGGTGGAGAGGCCAGCCCCAGACACCCTGGGGGACAAGGTCTCTGTGGCCTGGGTGGATTTGCCAGACTCTGGGCCATCAGTGATAAGGCTGTTGGATGCAGGAGGTGATGTGAGAAGAGCAGACGGACACCCAAGATAGACCCTGGGAAAGGTCGCGGGAAAGTCACAAGTGGCCCAAGAACCAGAACCCGAGGACAGACAGACAGACGGCTGACGCACTGCAGAAAACCCAGGTAGTTGGGAAAGAGGAACAAACAGGAGTCAGCCACAGGGAGGACACTGGTCACCCCGATGGGCATGTCTCTCCCGATAGGGTCAGGGAACCTAACTGTGGGCTAGGGAGTGAGAAAAGGGAGAGATGTTTCCACAGAGGGATGGGGGCTTCAGCCCAGGTGAAGGAGGTGGTCGTGGACTGAGGTCTGTAAGGAGTCTGAGAGGATGACCGAGAAGGGAGGAGCAGGCCATGCATGGCTCATCCTTCACTCGATTGGACTCACAGGATTCATTCATTCAATCAGCCAATCAGACATTCAAATCCATTCAGTCACTCGTCTGTTCATATGATTCATTCAAACAATACTTCATTCAACCAATGAATCATTCATTCATTCAAACACTCCATTACTGGATTTCTTTCATTATTATTCAATCATTCATTCACCCCATCACCCATGTATCCTACCAATCATGACTCATTCAACCAATACTAACCAAGCCCCTCCTCTGTGCCAGGGACCATTCTAAGCAAGAAACTGGCCGTCCATGAAGAAGGAGGGGTGACCGTATAGGACACAGATCAGGTGGTCAGGTGACTCTTTATTGTGGGGACTCACAGACGCCGGAAGTAGAAGAGCTGCTGGTGACATACAGGACAGGAGTGTCTTACGTCCATCAGGCCGCTGATGAAGAAGGGGATGAGGCAACAGCCCAGCACACACCTGCAGCCACAGTAGGGCGCTGGACGTGAGAAGTCCAAGTTTTCACACACCTGGGACTACCTACAAGAATCCCCTAGGCTTCCCTCAACTCGCATCTGTGAGAGAGGCCTGGGCACTTGCCACTGTAAAGCTCTCTAGGTGATTCTAAGGTACCACTCGGGTTGAGAGTTGCTCCTCAGCTTCTTACAAGCCCATCCTTGGGCGAGTGCTTTGTGGGAACCTCCCATGCATCCATCCCCTGCCTTTGTGACAAAGATGAGGATCTCAGGCTCAGAGAGAGGTTAATGGCCAAGGCTGGAACCTACTTCCATCCTGGGTCTTGCTGCCACCCAAGGAGTGAGAGGGAACAGCCGCTCATGCAAAGACCACCCCCAACTGCAAGCCAACCCACCCACTCACCCAAACAGGAAGAGGCCAGTGCACAGCAGCCAGGTGATGACCCCCGGGACGTGGCTGGTGACCGTAATGACGTTACTGCCGCAGTAAGGACACGTGGTCTGCAGGGGGGTGCTTGAGCTCCTTCTGGGGAGTCTGGTGATCAGTACTAGGTGAAGGAGGGGCATTCAGGCTCAGCACCCCTCTCCCCACCCATGTCCACCACCCGGCCACATCCCCCATGCTTGCCACCATCTGCAGCTGTGAGGTACTCATTTAAACATTCAGTCTCCCAAACTGTCCACTGCCTGCTACCACCCACCAACCTGCAAGTTAGACTCCTTGCCCTCTGCTAGCCTAGGCATGGACAATCCAAGCAGGCGTAAGATTCCTGGGAATTTGAAAGCGTCTCTGGATTTAAACATAGTCCTCCAATTCTGTGAGCAACCTCCACCATATTGTGTCTGTAAATATCCTACCCCCGATGTTGAAAAGTTCATCAGCGCCAGTTTTGAATCCCTGCAATAAAAACCAGTTGCCCTCAAGCCAACGTCAACTCATAGCAGTCACATGTGTGTCTGAGTTTTGAACCATCTTCCACGGGATTTTCAATGACTGATTTCTTGGGAGTGGATTACCAGGCCTTCCTTGTGTGGTGCCTTTGGGTGAACTTGAACCACCAACCTCTTGGTTAGCAGCTGAGCACGTGAATCATTTGCACCATCCAGAGACCCCCATCCCTGCAGCCAAGAAGTCCTAACAGATGGTCTTGGTATTGTACGTGCATGAGAAACAAAAACAAAAACAACTCTTTTTGTCACTCCCCTGTTAGAACTTTCTTGTATCTGCACAGTGGGCCCATCTCTACTGCATCATCCACAGACCTGCTTTCTAAGAATTTCTAATTCAACCTCTGCAGCTTCCAAACTGGAGAGTGCCCAAGAATCCCTCAGAACTTTTGTTTAAAATCCAGGTTCTGATTCAGTGGGTCTAGGGTAGGGCCCAGGAATCTGGTCTGGGTGCATTTGCTGGTGGCTGAAGTGGTAGATTCTCTCCTTCCATGTGAGAGACCCAGGTTCAAGTCCTGGTCAGTTATCTCATATGCAGCACCACACATCTGTCAGTGAAGTTGTTGCTAAGACAACCAGGGGAGTTTCCAGACTCAGACAGACTAGGAAGAAAAGTTTGGCCATCTACTTCCAAAAATCAGCCAATGAAAACCCTAGGGGCACAACGCAGGACCGGGTTACTGTGAGTCAGGGACCATGGACCACTCCTTAAATATGAGGGTGAGTCAAAAATTATACACGGTCCAGTAATATTAAAACGCCCACCCACGCACATGCTGATGACAACACTGAGTGTGCACATGAAGTTACTCGAATAGACAAGTGACAGTGGGCTATGTGGCAAATCATCTGCCAATCAGCCTGTGAAATATTCCACAACAGACTTAGGTTTCAAAACGTTTGTGTCAGATGGGAACCGAAGCAACTCACGGGCTGCATAAACAAAAGCATTGGGACATCTGCAAACAAAATTTGGGCCGATACTTACAGGTAAAACTTTGATTTAAAAAAATGGTTGCTGGTAATGAGGCATGGATCGATCACTAGGAGCCTGAGAGTGAACGGCAGAGTATGGAATGGAAACATCCTCAATCGCCAACCAAGAAAAAGTTCAAAAGTCAATCATCAGCTGGAAAATTGATGCTTAGCGTTTTCTGGGGTCCTCATGGGCCAATATTGGAACACTCTCAGGAAAAAGTTTCAACAATTAGCAGTGCTCATTACAGTGAGATGCTCACTGAAGAGCTGAAGCCTAAACTTCAGAATAAATGCAGAGGACTGCTATCCAAGGGCGATGTGATCTTGCATGTCAATACATGTCTGTACACCTCTGCTCACACTGTTGACACTCTGCAGAAACTTCGTTTTGAGGTGTTAAAGCATCCTCCTTGTAGTACTGATCCATTGAGCTTTCTTCACCTGTTTGGTCCCCTGAAAGTAGCCCTTCAAGGACAAAGATTCACTTCTGATGAAACAGTGAAGACAGCAGTGCATTGGTGGGTAGAAACTCAGCCTAAAATATTTAAAATAATGGAATGCAAAAGCTTGTTGACAGATGGACAATGTGTATTGAAAAACAAGATTATGTAGAAAAGCAATGTATTTGTCTTTTCTAAAAGTTGATTAAATTCTCCAGCCAGCGTGCAGATAGTTTTTGACTCACCCTCATATTTACTGTGTATTTCCCATGCATCAGCCCCTCCACCAATGTTCTCCATCAGAGAGATGGGAAGAGAGACTTGGGTGGCCATTCCAGTGTGGTGGGGGCTGATGGAGCCCTAACTGAGAACTATCTCTAGGTGGCTGGGCAGAGGAGGTGCTTTGGGGGCAGAGTGTTGACTCAGGTCAGAAGAGAAACTCCTGATGGTTTTCAGGAGGAGATGGGGACATGAAGAGGGGCCAGACGAACACTCACTTGTCTGGGCTTCCTGGGGGCCTGAGGCATAGATGAAGGGATGGCCTTGCATTCTTTGGTTTGCTTTTTCAGGCTCTATGGAGAGAGAAAGACCCCTTCAGCTCTGAGGGTTTACCACGAACCAGGCCCAGAGCTGTAAACTCACCAGTCTGAGGGAGGCACCCATTTTACAGAAGAGGAAAACTGAGGCACAGAGGAATGGATGGCACTGTCTACGATTAGGTGGCTCGTAAGCAGAGGAGCTGGCATCTGCCCACATGTTCTAGGCTGTAAAAACTTCATGGATGTGAGTTCAGGACAAAGAAGTGGCGTTGGCCCTGTAATCTTAGTAACAGTGGGTGTGATTGGCACCCTAGGTGGTTCCACTTGGAAACTTGTAAGCACTTTGTCTGGGGTCCTGGGTTTTGTCTTCACAACAAGAGATCCTCTTCTCCCTCCTGGAAATGGAGCTTGATGACTTATGGAAGGGGCGACCTGGGACCTCCCACCCAATGCCTCCTCCCAGAGTGGAGAGAACCAAAGATCAGGAACACCACTACCTCCCTTCTTTCCCACACACTGTAGATTCTGAGGGACAGGCAGAGGTATAGATCCACCTGGATCCCCCAGAAGCCCTGACTGAGGCTACCTTCAGTACCCTTTAAAAAGGAAAAAAGCAATAGTATTGTTATTGTTGTTGTTGTTGTTGTCAGGTGCCAT